AAAGGGATGAGTGTGTCCGTTCCCAAACAGTACGACGCAAACGGTTTACTATATTTAAAGGTACATAGAACCGGAACCCCGCAAGCCTTGCACGGAATTTAGGGAGTGTGGGGTTCAGTGTCAGACCTTTAGACTTTAATGCGGTAGATTGAGCATAGGGTCTATGGCAGGGGAGGGGTCCGGGTTTTACAGCTGCAGTGAGACACCCGCCACACATACTGGCGAACTGCTTTGTGACACCTACGCGAGACCCCAAAGACAGCTAGGCTAAGGAATGTACCAGAACAGAAAACTGCAGGTGGTCAGATAACCAAATGATGGTCCATCTTGGGGCCCTGTCAAAATCATTATCATACGACCCTTCTATTCAAACCCTAAACCCTAAACAGGAGTAGATCCCCAAGTCTGACTCCCAGAGATGTCGGGCTGCATAGGCCCCTGAAAGCCGGGGCTTAGGATTCAGGGAAGGATCCTCTTGCCATCAAGTCGCATCTGGTGGAAGCAGCTCGGCCCGGCGCTGCAGCAGCTGGTGGTAGGCTTTTTCTGCCTTGGGTCCAACCCGCACTGCCCTTGTCCCGTCCCCACCCTGAACACCAGCTGTCACCAGCTCTGCTGCGGCAGCCAAGCTGCCCATTCAAGACGCTTTGCTGTTGCGGCCAGCTCATGTTCAGCTGACCTTGGGAACAATTGGAACCCAAAGGCACCTATACAGCATCAAGTCATCTAACACGTCAACCAATAACCAACCAAAACTGCACGCTCAGCGCCCTCCATCTTATGTGCATGTCTGAATTCATGAATACGTAAATATGCAAGAATACGACATTGATGGTCACGCTCCCTCCCTCCGATTAACCTCAATTTTTGTGCACAAGTTCTGTGAATGGGTTGTAAGGAAGCTGCAAGCAACACCTTTCTTCAAGCAGGATCACACATAGTGAAAAACAAAATCATCTTTGGCAGCGCTTCTGGATGTCGGACAAAACAGCTGGGAAAAAAGATAATAAAACAACAAAGCCTCGGTATGTACGTTCACGACTGTTCTTGGTATGTTCTTGGTTTTCTTCTTCTGCTTCCCCGCTTGTGCGTGAGCTTTTGCGGCTTCTTCGTGGGTACTGTAGGACGGCCGGAGACAGCAGTGTTTCGGATGTTCCTGGGAATGCGATTGGTAAACCACAAACCCAATCGCGTTTTGGGTTTTAAGGTTCCCTTATTCGGCTACGTTTGCGGCCCAAGCGGCTTTCTCATCGTAAGCTCAGCGATGCTGAATTGTTCCAGGTATGCCCGTCGGTTGAACCATGCAACCTCACAAACTCATACCAAGCTCAAGCAAGCTCAGCAACGAGATTTCCGCTTGTCCTCCTCTGCCGCGCTGGAAGAAATTGAGAGCTGGAGCGCATGTCATAAGCATAAGGTCAAGAAGTTGAAAATGTCGACAACAAGCTTTGTTTTGCACCTGCCCCTGAAGCTGCCCCTGGTGCAGATCACACTGACCCGCCACTGCTCTTGCAGCATGCTACTCCACATCCCCTCAAACCCATGGGTTGCGCATTAAGATGCTATGTCAGATGAGTTTGAGTCATAGATTGTCACAGCCTCTGCTTTGGCTTAGGCTGCCTCTTTGCCCCAGAGCTCATGGCTTTCTGGTGGCAGCTGGCCTTGGCTTGTGCCAGCTGAAAGTGGTGCTGATGCCATTGGCAGGTCTGCTGGTCCAGGAACATGCTCTCCTGCACCACACACAGGAGCAGTAATTAACTGCGGCAACGCTGAGTCGTGGTTGTGGCAACGGTCAGAACCACTGCAGCCTGTCAATTTTCCCCAGCTTTTAAAAATCGGACTGAGGGTGCTGGGGAAGCAAACCTTAAACATCAATGCTCCGATGTTCCGGCTGAAAAACTGCAGGCTGATGCGGGCAGGAGGTGCACCGGAGTGCACTCAACTTCATTCCTTGCCTCATCTCCACAGACATGGAAAGCCCAAGAACCATTGACTTTTCGTTACACATCCTGGCGAGCCAACAGCTCATCCAGCGCCACTCCTCAGCTGAAGAAGAAACGGGAGAACTGCTTGGGGGCTTAAGGCTTTTCTGGGTCTCAATGCGTTCGAAAACCTGCCAGCAACAAATTCAAGCGTCGCACTCCGATGTTCTTCGCCAGCGACCCACCAACGCTTAGTCCAAGCTGCTCGCCAAAAATGCCTCAGCTTCTGCCCTAGGGCTCTGCCCCTGGCCCAACAACTCTTGCTTGTTGACTACAAGAAGATACTTGTTTCGGAGCGACTGCATGGATCACAGGCAACAAAGCCTTGCTGGCAAAGCAGGGGCTGCGAAATATGTCCGCGACGGCTTTGTCCACGGCACCCTCCATTTCTGTCATTGGGTCATAGTTGTCACAGCATTCGTAGCCTTTCAAGGGGCTGGATGCCTTGCATCATTGTGCAACTCGTGAGACCCATCAAGGCCGAGCAGCTTGTTTCTTCCATAGGGCAGCCCGGCTCTTCGCCAGGTCCCGACATCTTGCTGGACTAACTTCTTGAGCCTCTGACTAGCCGCCTCGCCACCGATCAGCTCAGATTCGCCGCACAATGAACCGCAACCCTCAGAATTCCTCTCACAGCCCCCAAAATGAGAGCCAAGGCTTCCAGGCTTCCAAGGCCCAAGCTGGCAGTGACGGGGGCAAAGCCAGGAACGCTTCTGGTTCCCACCGTGACCAGCACCTACCATGTTCGGCGTGCACCCGGCAATCAAGCGCACGCAAGGGCTGGGAAGGCACCCAGGACACAAAAACCTGTTTTTGCGAAGCATGGACATGTCTGAGGCTGCTGTCTGATGTCGGCCTTCTGCAAAACCAACTTCCGGACCATTCGTTGTGTCCTCACCATGAAGTGCAAACCTCCCCCCTCAAGCTTAGATTATGCTTTGGGGACCTGTCCCCAGATTACCCACATCCTTCACAGCATGGTCGGCCATCAGCGTAGCAAACCTTGCATGGGAGGCAGAAACTTCCCGAAAAATGGAGTAGATTGTGCGAGCCTAAGATGGTCCCGACTCTGCCCAGGGAATTGCACGACTACTCCAGGAAGGGACGACAATGAGTGCGATTCGCTACTGAGAAGTGGGATCCGGGCATGCTTGCAACCGTCACAGCTGCGCAGTTGAATGTTGGCTGAGTCAGCGAGAATGCCCGGTGAGACCTGCACAGGTGAGCGGTAAGGGCCTGGGCCTCATGACTCAGCGGGCTTCAGGTAATGAAGGAAGCACATGGGGCGGGCAAGGCTGCAGATGCATCTTCTTCTCACTCGAACCCATCCATGCTCCGGATGCATTTGTTTTTGAACACCTCAAAGCTTAGCTTAACGTCCTAACCCCCTAACCCTGGAAAACCCAGGCGCCCGGAACATACGGCCTCGAAGCTCCAACAACGAACCTGCGAGGCATTCAGGGGGCTCCTCAAGGTTTTGAGCATGTTGCATAAGGCCCAAGGCCACTCTTGGGTTGCACGGGCTGGTGCTACGAAAAAGCTGCACCAACGATTTTGTGCACGACTCAGGAATGTTCGAGTCGCGTTAATGCTGGCAATGGTGTAGATGAGAACATGGAGTGCTTGTGAGTATCACATTTAGGCGCGAACAGTACACAGTGTACACCTAGGCCGCCGGCATACGTGCAGAGTTGCGCGGGTAGAGGGTGGAGCCTGCAGGTTGCACTTGGGAGACAGCTTGAAGGAGCTTGAGGAATCTCGTGGCTGGTCGGATCAGCCCTGATGAATCAGACCTGCTGAACTTCTGCTACTGGTAGCCGAATCAAGACAAACCTACAGCAAGATTTTTCCTCGAACCCTGAAGCGCGCACCCTGCACCCTAGTCACCATTCTACTGAAGCCTGGACCAGGAGCAAACACTTCAGAACATGGCATCGAGTCGCCGAAAGTGCGGGTGCATCAATGGCAGGGGCCCCGCTGTGTTTCGTGCTCGCAGGCAGGAGACTTCACGAAAATACAAACTCGCAGAAGGACAGCAAAAAAGCGACCGCAAAGATGATGCAAGGTGAAGACTCCAAGTATCCCCTCGGGAAGCGTGTGTGGAGAGGAGCACATGTGCTAGCTGGGAGAAGCATGGCCCCAGACGGTCAACCTCGATCAAGCCCTCTAGGAACCGTACATCCCGTGTTGTTGCTCCGGGCTCTGACGAGCGGTAAATGATGCCGCATACTGCCGCAATACAGCACAGCATGCTTTATGCAGATATAGGAAGATAGTGGTCGCGACATGGAGGTGTGGCACAAAGACTCGATTGGGCACTGTAAACCCCCCCCCCCCCCCCCCTTACACGTTCTTTTGCCTGGAACTCACTGAATTCCCCGCGAATTACACTCCGCCCCCTTTGGAAACAAGCCCCGTATACCAGCTCACACTCTGGCCACACATTGCAGAGTTTTTTAGGACGCGGGCGGGGGAGGGATGAAGGGATTAGGTGGACACGCTTAGCCCCTCTAAGGGAGCTGCCCTTCACCCTCTCTCTCTCTCTCTCTCTCTCTCTCTCTCTCAGGCGCTCAGTGAGTCAGGATTCTAAACCATTAAAGCCCGAAAAACCTCGCCCGAAACCCGAAATCACAAAAGAACTGGGACCTGCGCAGGTCTGACGGATCCGCCAGCTGCCCCTGGCTGGGGACTTCTCCGAGGATGGCGCACCTGGGACGAGCCTCTTTGTGACTTTTTTGGAGGGTTTCCAGAGACCGTGCGCGAGCCGCTCGTTCATGAAGTAAATTCTGTCAGACATAAAGTCATAGTACTGATGCTTGACGATAGTTGACGATGTGATTGATGCAATTCCCAATGACACGCTTCCAGAATCCAGTCCTTCATGTGTACTCGAGCTCAATCCACCCTAGCCAAGTACATGTCGAGGTTTGTGTTTGCTTCGAGGGTTCAGGGCGGGGCCGTGGGGCCTCCAAAGGCCAAAAGTTCCATTTGGGATGGATTCGGGGGCTCTCTTTTTTTCGTTCAAGCCTCAGGGCTTTGGGTGGCTGTAGGTCCAAGAGCCATTGGGGCTGCGGCCTTTCGCAAGGTTGGAGCCCTTCCGATCACTATCGTCCCCAAAGTTATCCTTCGAAGTCGTGGCGCTTCGAGGGCTGCCGAACCGCCTTGACGGAAGCCCCAACGCATCTCGGGCCGCGGCAACGTGGCCGGAAGAGCTGTTCTCCTCCTCAGGATGCAGCATGTTACTGAGTCTCGCGAAGGGGCTCATGGAGTCTCAAGACTAGGTGGACAGAAGGAGCGCCCAAGCAGAACCCCATTGTGCGTCCAAGCTCCTGCGGCGCAGAGGGCAGCGCAGCCGATGGGCACGCACCTTCAGCTCTGTTGAGGCTTTGCAGACCAAAATTTCTGATTCCTGCCAGATGCTGCGAGGGGTCCTGCCCGGACTTGCTTGGAACACATCTCTACACTCCAAGTGGAGCCATCTGAGACCAGGGACCCACCGGAAAGTGATGTTGATGCGCTCCTGAACCGACATCAAAGGCAGGCTTGGGACGTCAGCCAGCTCAGCCAACTTTTCAGTGAATTCAAGATATTCCAAGCTTGCGGCGTGTCTCAGGGGCTCCCGAGGGTTGCACTTGGGCACGAAGTGCAGGCAGTGCCGCTGCATACGGCCCTGGGGGCATCAGCAATGCTTCTGGCGACCAGCAGGTGGAACGGACGCGGCCTCCATGGTCAGGATGTCCCCATTGCTGAGGTCTGCTTCAACAATGCTTCCAATCTCTGGATCCTTAGCAGACACGCGCGACAGTCTCGTGCTTGCAGCCGCCATGTCATGTACGAGTGGGATGAAGTACGGGCGCATTTTCGCCTTCATGCGGTTGACGGAGCTTCGCCTCTCCTATTTGTCGAGGCAGTGCTCTGTCCGACTCTACCTGCCGTCTTCTCAAAGAGCTTCTGCTCTCGACGCTGCGAAGCGTCCCAAAGTCGACAGCACGACATCTTTATGAACTATGACAACGATATGGCAAGCAATGTGCCGCTTGGCGGCAGGGTACCTGGGTCGGCCAGGTGAAACTGGAACAGATCTCGGCTCTTCAGGGGCTATTCAAAGGTGGCCGCATCCACAATGTCGTCAAACATGCTCACGTCGCCTAGGCCCTGGCGGCGCAAGACCGGCTCCTCTCATGACAGGCACCAAAGTCTGCGCTTCTTAAGCTCCAGTCACTGTAGCAGTACGAGCACCAGAAGCTATAGTTACACTCATACTAGCAGTAGAAATCATGTACTTCTTCTAGCAGTAATAATTAAGAATCGTTATAGTAATACTTACACGCAATTGCAAAAAACTAGGAGGAGCAAAAAAAAGCAGCCAGAAAAACAATGATATCGGAGCGGTTGTAGCAGCAGCAGCAGCTGTACTAGCAGCAGCAGCAACAGCAGCAGCAGCAGCAGTAGAAGCAGAAGCAGCAGAAGCAGCAGAAGCAGCAGAAGCAGCAGAAGCAGCAGAAGCGTCGTAGTAGTCGTCGTCGTCGTCCTAAGTAGTAGAGTAACAATAGTAGAATAACAATAATACTACTGGCTTAAGATTCGTAACACTGTGGTGATGGTGGTCCGTGGTGATCTGCGGCGATCTCTGGTGGTATAGTGGGTACATGGTGGTATGTGGTGGTATGTGGGGCATGCGGCAATCGCCATAGTCATTGCTGAAACTTGGAGTTTAGAGTTTAGCCAGGCTGCCGAGGTTAATGCCCTGAGAACAAGAAGAACCGGCAGCCGTTCAACCCTGCAAACTCCTCCCTGGTCAGGTCCACGACCGTAGAGACTCGATCTTCCTTCGCCAAGCCGGCCCACATGTTCACCACCGCCTCTGGATCACGTCGGGGTCTTACACTTTGTCCTGAGTTGTTTTTGGGTTCTTGAGCCTTGGAGCAAGAGCCATGGTGGATCTCAACAAGATATGTCACAGCCCAGAGCTGATCCGCGTTTATTCAGGGGACTGGCCAAACCCGATCGTCGTACGATCCCTCAAAGGGCCCCTGGCTCGCACAAACCCTAAACTGGAGCGAGCCACGGGCGCTGCGATACGCAGCGGCGAGCGATACCGCGTGGCGACATGCCGCGGACGAGCCCGAGCCTTAGCGCGGGCTCGGGGCCGTTGCGCGCGGTGAGCGCGGCCCACGCCTAGAAGGGTTTAACCCGCGTGCCAGCGTCAGTCTGGCTCCAAAGAGAATTACCCTAAACCTTACGTTTTTAGTGACCCCGCACTGCTGCATCCTCCCCTAAGCCTTTCTTTGCTCCTCCCAGACCATTTCTGAGCCTTTTTGGGCTCGGACCATTTCTGAGCCTGTTTTACCATTTCTGAGCATTTTCTGACCTCCCGCCCGGACCATTTCTGAGCCTTTTTGGCTTTTGCCGGACCATTTCTGAGCCTTTTTCGGCCTCGGGCTTTTCCCTGAGCCTTTTCGAGCTCTTCCCGGACCATTTCTGTGCCTTTTTGGGCTTCTCCCGGACCATTTCTGAGCCTTTTTTGGGCTCCTCCTGGACCATTTCTGAGCATTTTCTGACCTCCGCCCGGACAATTTGTGAGCCTTTTTGGCTTTTGCCGGACCATTTCTGAGCCTTTTTCGGCTCCTCCCGGACCATTTCTGAGCCTTTTGGGCTTCGCCCGGACCATTTCTGAGCCCCCGGCCCCGGACCGTTTCTGAGCCTTTTTTGGGCTTGTTTGGACAATTTTTGAGGTTTTTTGGGCCTCTTCCCGGACCATTTCTGTGCCTTTGCGCTTCTCCCGGACCCTTTCTGAGCCTTTTTTGGGCTCCTCCCGGACCATTTCTGCACATTTTTTGACTTCCGCCCGGACCGTTTCTGAGCCTTTTGGGCTTCGCCCGGACCATTTCTGAGCCTTGTGAGCTCTTCCTGGACCATTTCTGAGCCTTGTTGAGCTGAGCCTTTTTGGGCTTCTCCCGGACCATTTCTGAGTCTTTTTGGGCTTCTCCCGGACCATATCTGAGCCTTTTCGGATTCTCCCGGACCGCTTCTGAGCCGTTCTGGGCTTCTCCCGGACAATTTCTGAGCTTTTTTGGGTTTACCGCACCATCTCCGAGTTTTTTATGAGCCCAAGCCCTCCCCAATCGTAGAGAGGCGCAGGACCAAAAACCAAAGGGAGCCCAAGGCATAAACCTATGGGTCTTGTAAGCCCCGTATAAGCATCATAATTTGGGAAACCCCGGGCAAAAAAAACCCTAAACCCGCCCAAAATCTTGTAAGCAAGGTCCCAAGAGGTTGCAGGGGCCGAGGTTCCAGGGGGGCCACCAGGAAATCCTTTCAGGAAGGCTCCTTCGGCCAGGCCTCCAAAACTCTCCCCAATCTTCTCTAGGACCAAAAATCAAAGGGAGCCCAACATATAAACCTATGGATCTTGTAAGCAGGGTTTCAGGAGGTCCCAGGACAGTCCCAAAAGGTCTCCTAAAAGGTCTCCTTCGGCCAATCCCAGACCCTCCCCAATCGTAGAGAGGGCGCAGGACCAAAAACCAAAGGGAGCCCAAGGCATAAACCTATGGCTCTGGTAAGCCCGGTATAAAGCATCATAATTTGGAATTACCGGGCAAAAAGAAATCCTAAACCCGCCAAAAGAACCTATGGATCTTGGGGGGACAGAGAGGCCTTCGCGGAGGGTACCCCAGGATTTGGTCAAAGGCGGCCCGTAGCGCCCCCTCCCACTACTGTACTTACACACGATATTATAAAACCCTAAACCCGCCCAAGGTTGAGATGTGGGTGGGTGGGTTGGGAGAGCACGTTGAACCTGGGCGCACACCACAACACACGTCCCGCGTGGTGGTGTGCGCGGAACCTGAGCAACCCTAAACCCTAAACCCTAAACCCTAAACCCTAAACCCTAAACCCTAAACCCTAAACCCCAAACCCCAAAACCCGAACTTCAAGATGCCTCCCCAACCTCCTCAATGAACCCTGTTGCTCGTCGAGAAGACCCTAAACCCTAAACCCTCGAAACCCTAAACCCCTAATCCCCTAATCCCCTAATCCCCTAAACCCCTAACCCCCTAAACCCCTAAACGCCTAAAGCCCTAACCCCTAAACCCCAAAACCCAAAACCATGAGCCGTTGGAGCCCGCCCCCAACGGGCCCCAACGTGTTCCGCCAACCTCCACACCCACCACAAAGTCCAGCTTGTCCTTCTGCCTTGGGCATGCTAGGTTTTTTTTTGGTGTTTTTTTTTTCTTGCCACCCGGTTTCGGGTTTAGGGTTTCGGGCTTAGTGTTTAGGGCTCAGTGTTTGGGGGGCTTTTCTCCCACCCGCCAAGCAGACCAGCCGCACCACAGGGTAACATTTTCGGGGCGATGTACAACTAGTGTTTGGGGTTTAGGGTTTAGGGTTCTCGCCGAAGAGCTGGGAGTTTAGGGCCTGACGGCTTCAGGCTTCGATCTGCCACAACACCAAAGCCCGCGACCCCCAAGAATCATCACGAGGGCCTGTACTGAGGCCAAATCCTCGAAACCCAACTGCAGCCCACCGTCCCAAGCCCTTCCAGACAAGTAGGAAAAACGATATGAGGGGGGCGACTGGCGACCCTAAACCCTCAACCCCCAAGACCCCCTAACAAGCTAACACCTAAAGCAATAAAACCTGAAACCCTACAACCCCGAAACCCTAAAACGCCAAAGCCCTGAAATCCTAAAACCCCCAAAGCCCCAAAAAGGCATCCAGGCCTCTGATCCGCCAGCCGGAAAAACCCCTAGAACCCCAGAACCCTAAAAACCCGAAAAACCCCTTGCGCCCCCGACTCGGAGCCAAGCAGCTCCATCCAGATGTCCACTGCGGAGTCCGGGGCCGAGGAGGCCAACAGGGGAGCCTCCAAGTCCTCAGGAGTTCTTTGGGCGTGGAAGGGTTTTCAGGGTCCATGAGCTTAAGGGTTCTCTAAAGGCTGTTGAGGGCTTTTCAGGGCTTTTGAGGGCTTGTAAGGGCTGGCCTGAGGGTTTAAGGGTCTGTGAGCTTAAGGGCTTCAAGGGCTTAAGGATTCATGAACTTGGGGGTTTACGTGCCTAAAGGGTGGAAGGGCTTGAGGGCTTACGGGCTTAAGGCTTCTGAACTGAAGGGAAGAAGGGCTTGCAGGATCTTGCAGGCTCATTGGGCCCTAAACCCGAAGACCTTCCGACTCACTGCCGGTCCTCAACCAGCTGCCAAACAACAGAGTTGTTGGGCACACGGATGCCAACCTCGCGTCGCTTCCAGACCTCAATGGTACGCATGAAAGTTCGGGACAAATTTTTGCCACCTGCACTGCACCAATTCCCTGCGGAGTACGATCTAGGGTTTTGGGCTTTGGGTTTAGGGTACACTCCAAACCAGAGCCTTAAAAACCACGGGCAGAAGTTTTTTGCAACCCAGACCCTACACCCCCACCTTCGTGTGGCTTTTGTGCTCCAGGACGATCCGCGGCACTTCCCCGGTGGCCCGGAGGATGAAAGTGTAAGGGCCTGGGGGACGGGGGTTTCAGCAAACAAGAGCCCATGGTGGGGCCTCCTGGGATTTCGGTCTTGGAATCCGGCTCATGCGAAGGGAGCTTGGCGTTTTTTAGCTTTCTTGGGTTGTTCCGTGGCTTCGGGCCTGTGGCCATTTCAGCTGTTGGGTTCCCCGGCAGACCTTGTACCTGGAGGGGCCCACGACGGCCCACGGATAGCACTGGGCATGTTCATGGTTAGGGAGAGTTGCCAGCTGGAGGCTGCAGTGGAGATGTGGAGTGGAGGTGCTCAAGTCAGGAGCTAGGGGCGGCAAACTGCAAACAACAGGAAAGCAGAGCACACTTTCAGGGCTCCACCTACACAAAAAACTCTAGGATTCTGGATGGATTAGCTATGATTAGCTTGAAATCGCGAAAAGGCGTGATCAACTTAGATGAGCATCCTGGAAGGCACGACCTCATGTTCTGAAACCATTTGCGAGGAAGCGCAGCCACATCACAATATTTCGAAGCCATCGACAAGTCTGCGCAGAGAAGGCTGAGTGGTTTTCGCCTTAGTAGAAGTATCTGAAAGCTGCCCAAAAGCATCCTATACTTATCAGTTGGGAAAAGGTGGCAGCAAACAAAGGGCCGTCATGTGTCAAGGTGCTGATCGGCGGAAACGCCTTTGATGTCGTAGATCCGGCGAACCCCGCTCTTGCTGTTCACAGGGGTCACGTAAGCATGCTGGGTGTCTGTAGGTATGACGCCCATACCATTTCCAACCAGGCTTTGAAAAACGGTGGCCAGCTGTGACGTGTGGTGCTCTTCAAGAGGCTCGTCCACTATGGCATCGTCCAAGCTCACATATACGGCCTCTGACGTCCTCGAGTTTCGGCGGTGCTTGCGAGAGCCGCGTGCAGCCACCGCAACGCCGGCAACAGCCAGGCACCGCCCACTTTTTGCGACCTGCGACTTCCTCCACGTTCCTGGCGGAGCCGCGGGGCTTGGCAAACCTAGGTCGCTGCTTAGACAGACGCAGTCAACTGCACAAAGTTTTGAATCGGAAAGAACTTCTCTAGTCGCCGAGAGACCCCTCTTCGCCTGAGCCGGGCGCAGCGGAAGGAGCGCCGAAGTCGATGCAGCAGCAAGGGCTGCTGATAGCATGGCTCTGGTATTGGCTATGTTGTCGCTGCTTCTTGTGCTGCAACGTTCGACTTCGTTCTCTCGTGCTCGTTGCTTGTAGATGTCGCACTCTGGAAAGGCTTCGATCAAGTTGCAAACTCAAGAGGTCAGGCCACGAAGCACAAACGTCCCTGTCTTCTTCTTTCCCAGCACTGCTACTGCATGATTCAACACGATTGAGAATCTCGCACGCCCGCAGGCTCATTTTCTCCGAGCTCCGGGCTGCTCCGTTTTTCAGTGCGATCCAGAACCTGAGTTCTCTGTCTTGCTCATTCACTTCATCGCTGATACATTGTTACAGATGCTCCTATGTGCACCCTCAACACTTGGAGACGCAGGCTTGGAAAGCCACGCAGCTCGTACGCATAAAGCGTACCCGCTGCGTGGCGCAGTCAGCTAGAAGACACGGGCCAAGCACAAGTGATACGCGGGTATTGCCTGAAATGACATGTTCATGCCGGCAGGCATGGCGGGGCAATGTTTCTGACTTGTCAGATCACTAAGAGAGATGTGCATACCGTCTGACGAGAACCAGGAAGGATGGACAAAATCAGAGTACATCCAAGCCCCCGTCTCGCGTGTGGCACCAAGGGAGATACTGACCACGGGGCAGTCAGAGTCCTCGAGACGGGGTGCCCCGACTAGGGTTAGGGTTTAGTTTCTCTTCCCTTTTCTCTGCTGGTCTCATTGAACACAGGGGATTGCAGAGCGCAGGAGGATGCAGGAGGGACATGGATGGACCTTGCCACAGAACAGCGACTCATCGTCCGCGTGCCAGCCTGTTCAGCACAAGACAAGTTGCATCTTTGTCGGAAATCCGAGGAACCTACTGCTGCTCGCTACAGGATGGAGGTCATTCTGCAAGAAAGGCAACACGAAGCTCACACATGCAGTTGAACTCTTTACCAGGTGCTTGGTAAAAGAGAGGTCTTACCAACAGCACCTCTCCGCTCTTTTTCCCACACGTCAAAACCTTCAAGATCGCTTTGTTTTGTTCAACCCCCATGTGCGGACACCCAGAGACCTGGCTTAAAGCCAAGGGTCCAATGTGTGCCCACCCTTCCAGCTCAAGTCTTCGGTTCGCATCACTGGGAAAGACCACTAGGAGCCCCTGCCCACACCCTGGCGGCCGTCACGGTAGAGGTTGATGTTGGCACTGTTGGGCCAAGCCTCCTCTGCAAGGATTGAGGGCTTAGTCGAGGGTATAGGGGCTTTTGCCCGTGAGGTAAGCCTTAGGGCTTAGGGACTGCTTAGGGTGTAGGGATGCCGGGCAGTTCAAGCCACAGGCTACCATCGGCCATCCTCCCGAAAGGGGCACTTGGGCCTTCTCCAGCCCAGGAAACAAGTCGCCGAAGACATGCTGCATGATCTCCTCTCTTGCGCCAAAGCGTTATCTAAACAGCAGGTGAAAAAATCAACTGCACTGGTCTCCACTTCTGGGCAGCGGCCAAGCACTGCGACGGCTGCACCTTACCCTGTCGATCCTCCATGGCAACCTTGAAGCCACTGAGCGACTCATCCGAGAGTGGCTCTGCCTCTTCGGCGCAGGCTTGTCACCCTCCTATGTATCAACCCCGCCGACACCCAAGGCCATGCCCCCTTGACCAACCTTTGTTACAACCGAGGCATGCTCTCCCTGAATAAGAACGGCCCTTCCCGTGCAGAGGCATCTGGCCGTAGAAGACACTGAAGCTTCACATCCACGCTCCCTGACGCATCCCTGCCTCCACTGATCCATGGATGAACTGCAAGGCTGCAGGAGAGAATTGATACCGATTTAAGGCTTTTTGGAGCCTTGACCCAGTTGCCAGTTCTTGAAACACAGTTCATGATGCATTTCTGGCCCACAACGGTACTACGAGCAACTCAGTGCCAACATGTTCCGGCCACGGTAATGACACCTGCACATTCACGTTGAAGCTTGTGGGAAGGGCATCCCCAACTCACTTCCGCCCGGAGTCCGAAAGCCTTGCACCCACTCCCGCGAGCCTGGTCGGGGGCCGTGTCTTCCACGATGCGACTCGGGGGAGGAGGGGAGGTTCCTTGGCGTCGGGGCGTTGAGGGCTCAGGGGCTTCATCGCTCGCAGCTCGGACGAGCCCTGCGAATCGTCATTCTCCCCATAGCCCTCGTCATGCTGCGTTACGCAACGGCAGCGCGCCAGTGCTGCGTGGAATTTGGTGAATGGGCTGCTCTTGTCAAACTCTCTGAGCGCCACGCCATCCGCAGCATTCAGCACATCAGCATTTGTTACCTGAGGACTCCAGCTTTGCTGAACTGGCTGCCGAGAGATACAGGGAAACGTCATCTGAAGGCAGGATTAAAACATCGCATCTCTGCTTTTTTTGTTCGGGCGACGGAGTTCCCTCGCTCCCTGCATCGGACATGGGTCAGCATGCAAACATCCCAATCAACCCTGACCACCGACTTGTGCGAGTAGCCATTGGCACGCGATGCCATAACTTTCGAATTGGATAAGAAATACGCGCTCTCCACTGCCAGTGTGTGTATATACATCTTAGCAGGAGTTTGCGGTTGGAATGGCAATGTTCTTGCCGGCGCACTCTTGAACTTCGCTGGTCTTGACATCTACACAGTTCAGGCAACCTCTACCACACCAGGAGCCCCAGAAGCAGCTCCATTTGCAGTTTTCGGCACCTCGGAATGAAGAAACATGGACTGAGGGTTTAGGGGAACCGGGATCAAGTCTGTGCCGCAACCAAGGGGCCGTACTGCGCGGCAATGGCAAAGCAGCTGGCGCAACTAGTTCGGATCTGTGTGTTTGCCTCAAGTGCACCATGCATCGGAAAAGAGCGCCACTGCATCAGCATGAAGGCTGGAAGATACTAGCTACTAGCTGCGCGATCTCCATAGTCTGTCACGCAGCCAGACAGAGTGTACAAGTTTGCACACCAAGCGTCCTCAACACATCGCACGTAGTCGTTCCGGCGAAAGCCCGTGAAGATATTGAAGCTTTTCTTGCCGCAGTCGGAGAGGATGCGAGCAAAGCTATTCTGCCCAGAGCCTCGAATAGCAGCTACTAGTAGCACAGCTTCTCTTGCTGCCAATCCGTCTGAGACACGGCAATGATCGGAACGGTCGGCAAATGTACTGTGTCTACACCACCGGCCAGCCGCTAACAAAGCAGGTTGACTTGCTCCAGTACACGCATGTACCCGATCGTGTGCCATACACTGCCCGTGCATTGATCAGAGCATTTCTGCTCACAGTCTCACAATCTCGCATGAGCTTGGGGTGACACAGGGCTTCAAGACTTCAGGCTTGCTGGACGACATTGATTTCTTCTGGGCTCTACCCTAGGTGTTGCTCCAATCCTTCCCCTCACAGCTTAGGATTCAAATTGCTGCTGACTCAACCTCAATGAGACACCAGGTCACCACTGCCAAATGTCATCATCAGCTTTTCGTCCGCTTTCGTGCAGCCTTGCCCGGCAGCAGCTTTGGAAGCTGTACCTTAGGCCGTCATGATAGTACCCCCCCCGTCGTCAACCCGAAATTAAGACTGCTATGTACTAGAAAGGGGGGTGGGGGGCACGTCTTAAACAAAAGCGTCGGCAAGCTTGGGCCCGGTGCCATTCCAAGTGCTCGTTGTGTTCCTGCCCGCTCCTCAAACTAAACTTCTTTATGTTTTTCTTTGTTGTTTTTGGGGGGAGGGGGGGGGGGGGTGGCGGGGTTCCTGCTTACAAGGGGTCCAGAACAGAAAGGCACCACAAGGGCCATACAGATCCCCACTCTTGTGCAGAATCATGTCGCTTACGTTAGCGGCTTGGCTGAAGAACTGCACTGCATCGTATGCTGCGACAGCGTTCCTACGTTCCTGTCCTGCGGCTTCTGCCCGCAGACCAGTGAGCAGGGTCAAGAACACCAAGCTTGCAAGCATCGATGCCATCCTTTGCCTCATGTCCCCAGAGAGCCAGCCCAATACTCCTTTTTAAAGGATCCTTAATGTGATTTGAGGAATCTTCCTTAATTAAGGGGTATTGGGCTCTCTGGGTCAATCCCATTGCAAGTCGCGATGGTCGTCCGAAGTGAGTGTGCACAGTACGAGTACGAGTGCCCCGACGACGAATCAAGGTCGTTGGGAGCTGCTCGAGCGTGACCTGCGCGGGCACATCTTTTTTACCAAGATGCAGGTGCGGGCAATAAGCAGTTCGCCACCACTCTTGATGCTTCAGAAATGGCTGCGGCAAGCGGTGTTAGAACTCGATAAAGATTCATGGGACCTAAACCACTTAAAAACCACTTAATCTTGATACCCATTGAGAACTCAGCACTTCCACATGTCGGGCTTTCATCGCGAAGAACGCGGAAGGGTTCATGGCTAGCATTACATCATGATGGCACATGTGGCAATATCAATGCTCTGAGCAAACCGCCCGCGTCTCACGTCCATAGGCGTAATCGCAGGTGCATCCACCCGACGAAAACCTGAATGAAAGATATCTGCCAGGCTGACTCAAGGAATTGCACTTGCCTCCTGCCAGAACTGTGCGCTGACGTCTGGAACGAACTGAGGCTGCATGCCAGCAGGTGCTCCGTGTTACACTGGTTCCCTTAGCAATCTTAGCAGATAAGACGCAGCTAACACGCGCTGAAAACGAGGCTTGCTGCAGGCGAGCAGTGTGACCCCAGAATTTGCAAACGGAACCCATACAAGACATGTGGAGCCAACTTAGCTGCTGCGCCCCTGCGCGAAACACAGGACACAGCCCGTCACCTTCGTATTGCGGAGCTCCACCCAAGGCCTGGCGAGGTTTAGGCGCTTGATGGAGTTTATGTCTCCAGCACTGAAAGCATAGTGATGCCCAGCGTGTCGCGCTTGCGTTGGCTGACAATCTCGGGTGCAATGCTCCAAGCGAATGCGCTAACACAAAGGCAACGAGGCCCGAGTGTGCAGGAGTCAAACGAGGTTACCCTCACTTCCCTTTGCTTTGAAGCCAAGGCACACGTTGCGAGCAATTATGCTCCATTGCTCTACAAACGATCAATTGTCAAGGACAAGCATTGGCTCAGCCGCAACAACGTATCGAAAAGAGCGAAAATTAGCCTGACATCCGGAGCTTTTCTGAATTGTGCGGCTGGCGTCTACCCACTCCATTAAACATCCCAAACTGCCGAAAAGATGCCAGGACAAACGCAAGTGCAAGCTCCAAGTCGCCCCGCCGGCCCGCGAAACACCAGCCAAAATGAAACCGTTTCCCCGAAACTTTGGGGATTCGACTGCCCTAAGCTTCTGAACTCAGCTACTCAGGTCTTGGGCGCGCGCGCAACTGAGAGGAGCTTGAGGAAGAAGTCCTGCGATCTCTCCTCAGAGATGGCCTCGAGGAATGGGGCTTGTGACAAGGATGACCTCTCACGACGCAGTGTGGCCCTGCGACCGCGTGTGCAAACAAAGGGGAACACACTCTCCTTGGCGACATGTAGGGCCACGAGCCACTAACTCCTGCATGCATTCGCAGTCGACCAGCCTTTGGCCAGTGGAGGGAGAAGCATCGTCGATCTTCGTCCAGGACGAGCGGATGCCAGCTGCAGATCAGGGAGCGCTTTTCCCCAAAGATCTCGCGATTTCGCGACCAGGAGCTAAGCAAAGCCCGCTTCATGATGTCAGCGACTTGTGCTATTGTCGGCTCTATCCTAGGGTTACCTGACCCAGCACCTTGACCGTTTTCCCTAAACTCAATGCTTTGCAACTGGACTCTGGACTGGGGGATGCCAGAATGATCCCCGAACGCTTGAGCCCTTATAAACTGTTCAGCCCCTTTAACCCAACCGAAACCCCCCCCCCTCCCAAACCCACCTGTCTGGCGCGGCTGCCGAGTACTCGGCGAGCAGCCGCAGTGGGGTCTCCGACCGCGGCCTCAAGTCGAGGTACATTCGCCCAGAGGTGCGCGGCTTCAGGCTGTTGGGTTAGGAGTGATGCTTCTAGGTCTCGTGTCTTCGGCAAAACCTCGCTGCCGAGAAAAGGCCCAGCCAAGATGCGCCTTTTTGCGCCGAGCTCCAGGTCCCTGAAATCAGACCTGCACTCCTGCATAACCATCGGCCGCTTGTTAGCGTCCGCCAATTTTGAGCCCGCTGCAGAGCTTCATCTGGTGTCGGCAGCTGGATTTCGTGCAATGCACACACTCGGGATCATCGTCCTTGTTGAAGCAAGGGCTCAGGCAGTGTTCCCGCTTGCAGTCCACCAACTCAGCCATGCAAGTAGCACAGGGGCGGCTGTAGCCTTTCTTCTGCATGCAGTCCCTGGTGCATGGCAAGCCGGCATACCACGGCCCAACAAAGCGGCAGGATCGGGCACAATGGTCGAGGGAGGGGTTGAAGGTCTCCTTTCCTCCACCCCTCCAGACTTTCATGTCCGCGGAGTTGCGGCAGCTACCGCTCTGGGCACCAAGCTCCGATCCCTCGAAGCGCTCGTCATGGTCCTCAGTCTCAGAGTCGTCCAAGGCATGTCCCGATGCCAAGTGGTCGACCTTCTTGGCGCGTAGCTGGTGCAGCTTGAGGCTGCATTCCCACTCTGCACAGTCGTCCTCTGCAGGCACAATCGTGGCAATGTCCTCACCCAAAATGCCAGCAAAGCAAAGGAACAAAACCCAAGCTCCAAGCTCCATAGGGGACTTTGCCACCGGAGGCGCACGCTTTTCGGTTGTGAAGAGAACGAGATGTCAGCCTGTGGGCCTTGAGCCACAGGCGTCACACGTAATTAGTCTAACAATTCGCCCGCCCAAAAGAATGACCATGAAGCCAAGCTGCTCAACTACTCAACAACACAGAGCGATGGCTCACAGAGAAGTTACGGTCACGTTAACCTGACGTGGGACCACCATGGTTGGCTCTACCATAGCCCGCGAGACCGTGCCTCTCCGGGCCCGTGGACTACATAAACCCAAGCACCTTTGTGAAAGAGGCCACTTACACATCCAGTGCACGAGCGTCTCCAAGCGGCGTGCAGTTCGATAAAGTCGCCTGCAGCAGTTTATGTAACAAGTGTGGCAAGCCTCCACCCAAGAATTCCAGCATGGGGGTGTAGGAGCTCCAAGCGGAGGCTGTAGAGGGGGGGGGGGACTTTGGGGGCTGTTAGGGGGCCTCTAGGGGGCCTTTAGGGGGTTTGAGGGCTTGGTCTTGGTTTGCCAGAGTTTCGGTTTCCTGGACTTTCTAGGGCCTTCCGAACTTCCCCTCCACTCTGAACCCAAACCCTCACCACAAACCCTAAACCCTTTTGCAGCAGGTCTCCTCACCACTGCCTGCCCAAGCCATGAACCCTAAACCCTAAACCCTAAACCCTAAACCCCTAAACCGAAAACCCTGAACCCTGAACCTAAACCCTAAACCCTGAACCCTGAACCCTGAACCCTGCCCAAACCCTAAACCCTGAAACCTAAACCCTAAACCCTGAACCCGAACCCCGACAACCCAAGGCCTGCTGGACGGGGCCACCTCAGAGGCTCTCTGCGAAAACCCAAATCAGGGATCCGATCGAACTTTTTGGGACTTTTGTTGTTTTGGGAGGTTTAGGGCTGAAGGGTCTGGGTGTAAGATTTGCGGTTAAGGGCAAAGGCTTCGTGAAGATCTCGTGGAGTCGTTGAGGTTCAGTGTCTCGGCCACCGGGCTTCAGGGCCTTTTCAGGTTTGGGCTTGAGGGTGCTCCCCCCTTATACTATCAGTCATAGGGGCTAAAACTAGGGGGGGGGGGGGGGGGGGGGGGTACTCTAAGCTCCATTAAGGACCATTAGTATAAGGGGGAACATCCCAATTCATGGCCTTGTTCGGGCCTGGGCTGCTCTTGCCTATTGCTAAGCTCAACGCTTTCGAGCTAGGGTTTTAGGGTTGGGCATGGGTGGCCAGTACATGCGCCGCAAACCCGCTTTATATTCATTTGAAGCAGAACTATTCTGAAAATGAAACGCTGAGGTAGAGGTCTGAACTGTATATTCTGGGCGATGTCAATGTATGGGTATCCAAAACAGCATGAATCATTTAATATTCGCGCGTGCTGACACGATTCGTCTGAGTTATGTGAGCTGAAGCAGGCAATACAAACCCAGGCCAAACCTATAAAAGCATGCCGAGATGCGCATTTCCGAGGTTTGCCGCCGCGGCGTCTTGTCCTTCGTGCCTTGAGCTGAAAGCGCTGAGACATGCAGAGGCCGAAACGCAACCGCAATCCAAAAAACAACTTTTAGGACCTTAGGAAGGACTCGGGCAACAAGGTATTTTCATGGTGCCACACCAATCATATTGATATGTCAAGATATTGCTGATGTTGGTACTGGCTCTTGAATTGACATGTTGCTTCTGTGTATGGTGATCCTGTTATGTAGTACGTTTCACTTTCTGAACGTACTGGCAACACATGGTCATTCGAAGACCCGTCTCTCTCAGGTGGACTATGAAGGCCCCGGCATGCTCACAGGGTCATGGGAGTGATGCATGTCTCTCTAGCCGGTGGCTCACAGGCTCTCAGACCTGACTCTCTGTTTCTGAGGTCCCTCTTCGGCCTTGCCAGGGACAACTGGTGGCGTAGCTCAAAGGCTGAGTGCACAACGAAGCATTGCTTGTAGCCACGAGCTGTGTCTAGCAGCTAGCATCTGCAACAAACCAAAGCGACCTGCCTCTTCACCCCTGCATCGCGGATCAAGCCGCACAGTTACAAGATCCCAAACACCCCTGGCATTCGTGTGCAGACGGCCCTGTGAGTGAAACCACTGGGGTTCCGGGCTCTATGAGCATGAAGGACGGGTATGTTCAGCCCATCGTGCTGGTGCATCAGAAGATAAGATACAAACTGTCAGCATTTGTAAACTAGCAGCTCGGTCAACTTCGCCTGGCATCTCTCTGGCTTAAAGCGGCTGAAGTGATGTGGTTAACATGCGACAACGGGGCCAACATGCCATACTCTCTCACAAAGAAACAGCGGCGAGCGTAAGGAGTATCCACATGAGGAAGCAAGAGCAAGATCTGTCTGTCCCTGCAGTATGCGACAGTGATGTTCCGGCTAGTGGCAGTCAGGCAGGTATTTTCTTGACGCCTGCGATGCCTATGGCAGTCAGCATTGGGGTCGTGTGCCCCCAGCGTTCAGAGGAGCGGCTTGCCCACGGGAATTGCATCCTTCTTGGCACGCCACGGCCGTGTGATTGTCAGCGGTTCAAAGACAAGCACACGATGCATGGACGCCCAGGCAGCGAGCGGGGTGGTCCGAGTCCATCTCTTCCTGCGGATCTTTCCATGAAGGATTATGAGAACGGTTGACATGGTCGCACATCTATAGATAACGTGCATCAGACCACGTTGTATGTGTTTGATCTTCGCCCCGAGGAATTGCCCTGCTCCTGATTTGACCGTTCTAAACAAATAGTTTCATCACTAAAGGTCTCTGTTGTCTGCAAGGACGTCATGCGCGTTGGCGCACAAAAAAACACGTACATTAGCCTGTTGAAATACTGCAAGAATACAGTCAAAACAAAAGATGTCCCCCCCCCCCCACGGACTATACAGCAAAAATGCATTTTTCCCGGAGGCTGTATGGGAAAAAAGGCAGTTCCCCAGTAAACCGGCAATGCGGCAGACTGGACCGCTTTAACGAAGGGACCGTGAAGTATGTACATACGCCTTGGGATGCTCCCCTCATACTAACAGTCCTTGATAGGGATTATAGTACCCCCTATTGTATTCTCTATTAAGGACTGTTAGTAATTAAAAGGGAACATCCCAATGTACGCCACTCTCTACGCAACAAGACCTTGGCATCTGCATGGAAGTCATGGTACATTCTTCCTGAAATTGAAATATTGTAATAAGAACGCGGCGAAAACACGCACATTTCCGGCAGACTCTACAAGGACAAGAAGCACTTCTGCACAAATCGAAGCGATGTTCGGCACCGTACGACCCCAAGCCATATTTGTTTGGAGGACTACTCCCACTGTGATTCTTGCACAATTGATTTCAGTCCAAGCCTCTTCCTCACTCTGTACACAGCAGCCGCGAGCCAATGAGAGGGTGCCTGCGACAACAAGGTGTCCAACGCATCTGGTGCGGCCTGCCTAATTAGTTGCAACACACTGCCGGCAACATGGGGTGAGGAGCGGCATCTTTCTCCCACAGTGCAGGCGAGCCAGTGCAGTTTCATCTTGCAACAGCTGAAAACTCTGTGAATACTGGTTCGCGAAACCTACAAACGTGTCCGCGTCTGCTAGTCTTACTCGCAGTCACACAGCAGCGCATATTGCGCAAAGAGAGTCGGGGGCTTCACCTGACGCGGCACAGCTTTAAGCTTCAGGGCGAAGTGCTTGTTTTGAGGCTCCAGACTCCAGAACTCCCATTCCTGTTACATTAGGCCTGGTGTGCCCTTGTGTCGTTAGTGGGGTCGATGTAAGCTCCTAGGCCAGAACTCACTTGAGCTGCACGGGCATTGTCCAGATGGCAGATGGCATCGTCGCAACAACCCAGGCAGTTGCAGCATCGTTCACTTTAGCCCGAAGACACTCATTCGCCAGCGCACAGCCAAACACGCACAACTCTGCAAAGAAACTCAGCTCGGACTCAACTCAGCTACTTTGAAGCCCTGCCCATAAGGCAACACATGTGCAGGAAATTCGACTACAAGATAGTGCCACTTGTCATAGACATCAAGTCCATGGCATTTGCGGCTCGTCTAGCGGAGTGCTAGAGGGGATTGTGTTCTCAACAAACCTTCAGCCCCTGACCTGTCTGAAGCTTCTGCCACTTCCTTTTCCAGCTGCACAGCTTCCTGCACGGTGCAAAGAGCAGTTGCTGCAAAGAAGGCTACAGTGCTTGCGGCATGTTGCGGCCGGGACCCTTCGCTAAACGGCCCAGCAGCCCACAACGAAGGCTATTCTTCACACCGGAGCTGGTACAGTAGATGCAGCGTCACCTCGAAAGCTGTGGGCTTTCGCCTCTTCCGCTTCAGGCGTTTTGCTTCCTGGGCATGTGGCCATTTCCAGAAAGCAGTTCTTCATCCATCAGACGCTGCTACTACGGCTGCCGCCAGCTCTCAACAGTTGAAACCTTCCACCACGCTGTAGTCTGGACCCCAAGTCTCTCCCTCTATACTCTCATGTGTTCCCTCCTTCCCGCCTTCACAGACTCGACTCTAGCGGTTTCCAGATCATTGCCATGTCTTTCTTCTTCCCCGCTCGTGGTTTGAGGCATCTTCCGGTGAGGGGCGAGTTCGCATGCGAACACAGGCAAAGGGAGCCAGCCCGATGATTTGGTGCTCTGAACCCTCACCCCCAAGAGCAGGTTGATACAGGTTGTCAGGATGGCAAGGCCAAGCAGCTAATAGGGCTGAGAAGCCTTAACTGCCTTTGTAACAAGTACGTCAGTCTGAGCACCCAGCTCTTGCCGCCATCGCCTCTTCACTGTAGTTCGGGTCGACCCTCGGATACGCAACCAGTACCATGTGTTGAAGCTGCGCAGCACAGCACACACCCAGGGGTGAAAGATGATCGATGCATGCATCTCACGTGCCTTGGTACACTTGGCAAGTGACTTGCAACGCAAACAGATACCGGATCCCCCTATGCCACAGAGCCACTTGGCCAAGCTTGCACATTAAGTTGTTTAGTTGACCTTCCCAGAGATTCCCAGTCCCAGATACGGCGTGCATGCAGAGAATGAGGCGCACACACGGGCACAAAAGTCTGAGGCGGACATTTTTTCTCCGGATCGGCATCGAAGGCTTCAGCTGGGCACCGGTCCAGCCTTTTCCAAGAAGGACTGAAGGGCCTGGGACGGCGGCACTGCGCCCAGATGCAGGGTGGCACCTCCCCCTCGCGCCCCGAAGTACTGTTCCACGTAGAACAGCATACCTGGCAGGCGGAATCTCATGCAACTACGCAACGGCCCGATGCCATAACCCCTATGTGCACTCCAAAAAGGATGCAGGAAACTACACGTATGGGAACGATAACTAAATTAGACCTAAGACTCAAAGCCCTCAAGCTTGCATCGCACGCCTGGCTCGCCACCTCTCCCGTACTTCGTGGAGTCCACGCTCGTAGACCTGCCGCTTAGGCTTTGCGGGCCTTTGTTCAGAAGTGCTCCGCTTTGAGTGCTTTGGTTCAGGGTATCGAAGAGGCTGCCAAAATCCTCGCATGCACGTCCACAAAGGTTCGCGAGAGCGAAGCATTCAGGAAGTGTCCACGAAGCGTTCACGGAGCGTTCGCGAAGCGTGGTGCGCGCGTGGCTGCGGAACCCGCGTTTTGTCATCGTCTTGTCATGCGGCAAGCTGTAGTTGTGGACATCTGTGTGTTAGAGCCGTTTCTCGATGGGTCCGCAACTGTCGTGCAACTGATGTAGTTGTAGAATCCGCCAGCATTTGGCAGTTGGACGATGTGGCTGCCACTGTCGTGCGGCGGCTAGTTGAAGAAACCTGAGTGTCGCATGGCGGCAGTAGTTGCGGAACCCGGCGTTTGGGCACTGTCTGGGAGTGTTTCCTAATGTGTTCATGAGTGCAGCGTACACCATAGTTTTCTGACGTGTTCGTACGTGTCGAGCAGCTGCTGTCGTTGCGTCCATTCGTGCCGGGTGGCAGCTCTAGTTGTGGAAAGCTTGACATCGTTTGTCAACTGTCGTAGAAGCGACAGGGATGGAACATGTCGCGTCAAAAGTTACTGTGGATGCTTGAGGTTCTATGAGGCACACACCACCGCACGGCTCGCGGTGCAGGCGGTCCTCATACGCATTTCTTCACGGCGCTTCGACTCTGCATACCTCCAAAGGTGCAAACCGTTCGGATTTCTAGAAACTGTCGAGAAGCCTAGTTGCGGCAGGTCACAAGCTTTCACCTCGAGTCACGAAGTAGCATCCATCATGACCACGTATGCGTGGCACGGCTGCTGGATTTCTTCCAGCTTTCGTACAACCAGTGAGGCAACCAGGCAGAGGTTCTTGTCATTGTAGGGACCACGAACACCAGACTCAACAAACTTGCAACTGCCACCAGGACTGCTGGACTTAGCTACTCCTACTGCAAGAAGGACTTTGGCCCTGGGGGCAAAAGCCTGGCCTGTCGGCGCTCACCCATTGGTTTGCCCATGGATGCTGGTTCTTGGTTAAATTTTGAGTATGTGACTCTCAGAGCCTTCGGGCTTTACGGGGTCTGGGCCAAGCTAGTTTGAGGGCATGTCCTCAAAGCGAACTCTGGCATCCCAAACCCCAGCAAATCCCTGGTCATTGCACCACCCAGCCTGTCAGACGGCAGCGGCACCCACTTCGCCGTAGCGATCTCTCCGTTGTGCCTTTAAGGTCGAGGCAACCCGAACGCTTACAACTTGCAATTTGGGGTAGTTTAGAGTTAAGGGTTTAGTGTAGAGACTGAAGGTCTAACGTCTCAAAGATGAGGTGCACCAGTGCCAGGCCGGTCAACAGCATCTCCAGCTTGTCGTTCCCGCCCCCGCACTGCTCCACCGCCAACAAGCCCAGGCGGTCGCCGCTCTGAAGTTGTTGAGGTTCCCAGGCAAGGCGGATCTGCGGGCGCGGTGGGCCTCCGTTCAGCTGGAAGTACGCCCCAGGCTCGAACATCGGGCGCCCCTCTTCGCTCGGGGAGTTCTCCGCCAGAAGGGGCCCGCCGCCCACCAGCATAAGCTTCCATGCGAACAAGTCCGAATGTATGGTGTTGATGATGCTGACAGGAATCCCCCCACTTTTGCTACTGATCAGGGCCATGCCCAAGATCTTGTATGCCTCCAGGTCCTGACGATCAAAGTGGACCTCCACCTCTGCATAGATGCCCTGAAAGAAGGATTCACAGCCGAAACCTAGCCAACGCGGCATCAGGTGCTGCCGCGTGAGCGCGTTTGTGTACGACGCAGTACTCACGAGTTCCAGTTTTTCTCGCCTTCAGGGGTTGAAACGTGGGGAAGCGCCTGTCGAACCCGGAATGACCCGAAAGGAGGACAGCCTGCCTTGGTTGCATGCTGCTAAAGTCCTTATTCTCTCGGCCAAAATCCACAAGGGGCTGAAGTCCCGTCACTTCGAAGGCTGCCACCAAGCATCGCAATCGAACAAACTCGGGCTTAAAGATCTCACTTCCGTGCCAATACATGGGCCGCTCGGAGAATGTCCGCAGTGCAAGCAGCAGTAAGCCGACCACTCTCCGACTGAGACAGTCGACGCCATCGTGCAGAACCCGATCCTCAGGCTCAGGGTCAAAGAAGCGCGCGGTTGACTCCGCACCGAAGGACTTGCGGCCGAAGATCGGCACAACACTCCAGCTGTCGGCGTGCCATGCGACCCGATTCAAACGACGGTTTACCGGAGCCAAGCATGCAACATCCGCAAAGCGTCCCATGACGAAGGACGTGATGAGGCAGAGCAGGATATCAGACAGCGCAAAGAGCCCCTGCGTGCTTGCGGATACGTGTGAGCTGCTCGACTGGTTCCGGGCAGCATGCAGTGGTTCCAGGGCATCCTTCCAGCGCTGCAATTCGCCACACTGCCGAACGCTGGGTGCTGGCACTTGCCGCAAGAAGTGGTTAGCGCTGACATGGTAGTAGAAATTAGTGGCGGCATCCTGGCTCTTCCTTCCCTCATTATGCCTACCAAATGTCCCTGAAGATATGTTCAGGCATCTCTCAAACTCCATAAGGATTAACAACGCACCGTGCCGGTGGTCTCCACATTGTGCACGCGGACCTTCTTGCATGAATGCCGTCATCTCGGTCAGTTGGTCCTTCAATCGGCCCTCCAAGCTGCGCCCTGGATCCGAATCCTCCTCCAGGCCGTTTTGAAGGTTCTTGTGCATGATGTTCGCCAGCCAACGTGTTGCCTGGGCCATGAAGTGCCCCCGGCAGCCATGACTCAGAAGGCCCCAGCATCGACGAAGTACTTGCTCGAAGCGCTCCCTGCCAGTGTCATCTGTGTCCGGGTCCTCCGCTGACGTCCCCTCCTTGCTCCCACCTCTGGAACTTACTTCGACGCTTTCAGAAAAAGTTCCGCGGAAGGTTCCTTGGAACCTTCCTCCGGCTGGTCCTTTATGACTTCCTTTGTAGGGATTCCCCTTGCCCCGTCTCAATCTGGATGCCCGAACCTTCGGTTCCAGAGGCAACAAAGACACAAGGCGCAACCAGAGTTGCAAGCTGTCGAGGAGGAAGTCTGGAGGGGTCCGCATCCTGCTCTGTATCTCCTTTGCCTCCTTCTGGAGCACCTTTTCAAAGCAAGGAGGCCCACTGGGGATCTGGGACGGGTAAGCTCAACCGCTTCAGGGCGCAACCGACACGACCAAAAAAAAAAAAAAAATGCATTTTGTTGCCTCGAGGTATGCGGTGCGCAGAATGCCACTCCCTTCCCCCCGAGGATGCTCAGGTTGCAGGCTCTGGGAGACTGACTCGGACTCGAACACGCTGTCCTCGAGCCACTCACCTCCAATCATAGAATGTTTATCGCCCGTAAGCACCACTGATGCTACGACTATAGGACGGAATTGAACACTGCTACGACGACGGCCTCTCTACTACTACTTCTACTGCTTCTACAACAAATCCTACTACTACTACTACTACTACTACTACTACTACTACTACTACTACTACTACTACTACTACTACTACTACTACTACTACTACTACTACTACTACTACTACTACTACTACTATACTACTACTACTACTACTACTACTACTACTACTACTACTACTACTACTACTACTACTACTACTACTACTACTACTACTACTACTACTACTACTACTACTACTACTACTACTACTACTACTACTACTACTACTACTACCTACTACTACTTACTACTACTTACTACTACTTACTACTACTACTACTACTACTACTACTACTACTACTACTACTACTACTACTACTACTACTACTACTACTACTACTACTACTACTACTACTACTACTACTACTTATTACTTACTACTACTACTACTACTACTACTACTACTACTACTACTACTACTACTACTACTACTACTACTACTACTACTACTACTGATACTAGGGTGCAAAGCTGCGGTTTGCCCGCGCTCTTTGTCTGGAGGCACACAAAACATGCGCAGGCGCGCTGTTTCCGGAGTTGGGACGTTCGCAAACATTGTCCTATTTTTGCTTCTTTTTTCCACAAACGACCACCCTCTGCGGCTTTCGCTGGGTTCCGGAAATTTGGAAGGGGCGGGTTGCCCGCGCTCTTTGTCTGGAGGTGCGCAGGCGCGATGTTTCTTGCGTCCTCAAGCCTAAACCCTAAACCCCTAAACCCGAAACCCTAAACCCTGAACCCTGAACCCTAAACCCTAAACCCTAGAACCCTAGAACCCTAGAACCCTAGAACCCTAGAACCCTAGAACCCTAGAACCCTAGAACCCTAGAACCCTAAACCCTTTTTTGCAGCCGGACTGAAAGCGTTGCCGGAATGGGAGCCAGGGGACATGAATAGATGCACCACTCTTTCCCTTCTGACTACCAAAAATCAGTGAGACAATCCCAAAAACATGCAAATGCAAGTGACAAGTCCCATCCATCTGCTGTGAAGTCAATGCCTCTTGGCCTTCTCATACCGTGACCTTCTGATGTCTAACTCTCGGACTGCATCCTGAAGTGTCATGCCTCCCTGAAGATCTCGAACAATCTCGCCCATTTCCAAGTGAAGCCTGAAAAGCCAAGCACGTTCGAGTGAAGGAGTATCCCCGGCCTGCTGACCTGACGCAGGAGGCTCTGTGAGGATTGCGCGATATTTCTGCCGAAGATGCTGCAGGCCACAGAGGGCCTCCTCAGCATTGCCCGCTTCTGTCAAAGAAGACTGCAAAAAGACTCCTGGGTCACCCAGCTCCTCCCATATGCCACGACCTCCTGGAGAACCAGATGACGGTCCTGACCCAGCGTTTTGCCCGCCACCAGTTGAAGCACGATAATCCTTCTTGTTTTCCTCAGCCTCTGCACTTGCCTGCAAAGTTTCAGAAACCAAGTCTCCCGAACCCTCGCTGCCAACAAAGTGTGTAGCCACCACCTGTCTTACCTCCTTACACGCGCCGTCATCATGAGAGGCAACATTCTCGGAGAGGTGCGCAGAAGATGAAGCATGTGGAACTCGTCGCCCGGCATCAGAACTATCCTGGATGGAGAGCTCCAGTGCATCATAAAGCTTTATTGGAAGGCGCACGCATGACAACCGAATAGGAGACCGACAAGTCTTGGAGCATTCGGCGTCAAGCAGAAGACGTAAAGCGGACTGAAGAAGACGTCGAGCCTCTGTTGGAACGTCGCACTTCTTAGCAGTGCGCACGGCGCGCCCCACGCAATTGACAAGCTTTGTCCTAGAACGGTCCATTGCAGCGAGACAAGCAGCACGAATTAACTTGCGATTTTGCCCTTTTGGACCTCGTAGCCACAGGATCTTGAGCCCCTAAACCCTTTTGCATCCGGGCTCGGGGAGTCGGCCGGGAATCAGGATGCTGCCACACGAACTCTGTTCCGCGGGTAGCACAAACATGAGAGCAATTGCGTGCAATAAAGACCCCTTGTGGTTATGGTACTGGACTGAGGCCGGAAACATTCAAGCGTGGCTATCCTTGTGCTGGAGCTTTCCATCTATGCTCTCTCGTAAGCTTTGCTGCCGTGCTTCACGCCTCTTCTGTTTGAGCGCAATCCTCTCTTGCCGATGATGCTCGCGGAGTTCCTGTATGTTTGGAGGATCGGAGGTCGTGTTTGGACTTGAAGATGCAGCGAGTACCGTCGGACCTGGTGAGCTTCGTTTGCGTCGTACTTTGTCTTGGTGCTCCAGCAACTGCTCCTCAATCTCACGAAAAACCTGAAGCGCCCAGGCGCGTTGAGGACCTTCAGGCGCAGTCTCCACGGAGGTTCGAAGCGCGTCCCTGAGGTACATGAGTCCCCTTACGGCTTCCTCGGCACTTGCTGCCTGCTCCACATGATGTCGAACGAGCGACTTGGGACTGCGAGGAGAAGACGACGGCGAATGCCGCGAGGAATCACGCAGTACTCGCCGTCTATCATCAGCCTGCTCGTGACAAGCTTCCGAGCGTCTTGTTTCCTGAGTGCTCCCCATGGCCATGGCTTCCTTGACGTTGTGTTCTGGAGTGTCTATCTTCATGGACATCTTCTTGAGGTCTGCCGCAGATGTCTCACTCACTGCATCAACTCTTGGATCTCGGCACGGGAGAGGTTGCGGGATGGCTGACTCCAAGCAAACTGTCACTTTGCGTTTCCAAGACGGTGCAACCGACGGATCAAGCGAACGCATTTCTGATACCAAGTAGACCAGAGCAAGGTTGAGTTCGTTGGCGACTGCCATCTTTTGAAGGCTTTTGGACAAACGCAAGGCATAACCAACACAGGAGACAAGTTTGATCTCCAAGCCTGAAGGCGCCATGGCAAATTCGAAAGGGTGAAGACTGCAACTGTACAAGGTTTTATCCTTTAGGATCTCGTAACCAGACGGCTTGAGCCAAAATGGAACCCTAAACCCTAAACCCTAAACCCTAAACCCTAAACCCTAAACCCTGAACCCTGAACCCTGAACCCTGAACCCTGAACCCTGAACCCTAAACCCTAAACCCTAAACCCTAAACCCGAACCCGAAACCCTAAAGCCTATACCCTATACCCTATACCCTATACCCTATACCCTAAACCCTAAACCCTAAACCCTATGCTGGACGGCTTGGGTGTGGGCAAACCGACCGTTTGGCGCGTACTACTACTACTACTACTACTACGACGACGACGAGGAGGACGACGAGGACGACGAGGACGACGAGGACGACGAGGACGACGAGGACGACGAGGACGACGAGGAGGACGAGGACGACGAGGACGACGAGGAGGACGACTACTACTACTACTACTACTACTACTACTACTACTACTACTACTACTACTACTACTACTACTACTACTACTACTACTACTACTACGACTACCACTACCACTACCACTACCACGACCACGACCACGACCACTACCACTACTACTACTACTACTACTACTACTACTACTACTACTACTACTACTACTACTACTACTACTACTACTACTACTACTACTACTATATACTACTACTATATACTACTACTACTACTACTACTACTACTACTACTACTACTACTACTACTACTACTACTACTACTACTACTACTACTACTACTACTACTGCTACTACTACTACTACTACTACTACTGACTACTACTACTACTACTACTACTGCTACTACTGCTACTGCTACTACTGCTACTACTGCTACTACTGCTACTACTGCTACTTACTACTGCTACTACTGCTACTACTGCTACTACTGCTACTACTGCTACTACTACTGCTACTACTGCTACTACTGCTACTACTGCTACTACTGCTACTACTGCTACTACTGCTACTACTACTGCTACTGCTACTGCTACTGCTACTGCTACTGCTACTGCTGCTACTACTACTACTACTACTACTACTACTACTACTACTGCTACTACTACTACTACTACTACTACTACTACTACTACTACTACTACTACTACTACTACTACTACTACTACGAGAGTACTAGTACGAGTACGACTATTAGTACTACGACGATGAGGGCGTGACGAAGGACGAGGACGAGCACAAGGACGGTCCAGGCCGACGAGGCCTTACGACGACGACAATGACGACAACGACCAGTGCCGCTTGTTGGTCCTCTTCGTGCCGTCGCCTTCTCGCAGGCTTGGGAGAGGCACTCCCTGCGCAGTGGTCCGGAGAAAGAAGCACAAGGTCGTCTGTGACTGCAAATCGCTATCTGCGAAGCGCTCCGGGTCATCCAGGCTTCCATAGCGACATCTCTCACGACCATAGACTTTCGCAGGTGCCGAGTCAAAGTAGCTCAGCTCCTTAAAGCACCAGTTGATGTCAACACAGAGCCAGTGGTGATCTTTGAGCTTCTCGATGATGAGATATTCCGACCAACTGTCACCAGTTTTCAGCATGCAGCAGCACGGCAACTCCATCAGCAGCGACGCGGGAGTAGACATGCTGCGTACTCGAAGCTTATACAAGTCTTAGAAAGTAAAGATAGTTCGCAGCTTCACCTGCATGAAGATATTTGTGCGGTCAGAAACGGGTCACGGAGGTCACGGAAAAGGCTCAGCGGCACATGCAGCAAAAAAAAATCTACCAGCCGACAGGACAATGAGGCCAGACATCACGAGTTGCCCTTGTTCACGATCTAAAACTGAGGCCCCAACTTGATGGCCTTGCGCAGCTTCCTCTTTTCATCTTCCTCCTTCTGCTTCTGAGATTCCTGGCGCCCATCAAGGATCCCCGAATACACGACATTCGTCCCCCCTCTAAATACACAACACCTCAGGCCCCAAATGCAGGTTCCAGAAGCAGCCGAGAATGTAACCCACGCCCATGAATCATGGCCCCCCCAGCCTTGTAGGCCCAGACAGAGAACGTGACCCAACTTCCAATCACGACCTGAAGTGCTCGGGCACAGAGGGAGAGGGATGCTCCGATGTTTTCAACTAGGACATAGCTCTGGTGACGATAAGTGCTAGGAAACAAAAAGTAAAATATGTTTGTGGGGAGGCGTGGGGCTTCCGGGATGTTCCCCCTTATGCTAACAGTCCTTAATGGGGATTGTTAGTACCCCCTACTCTCATCCCTATTAAGGTCTGTTAGGATAAGGGTGAATATCCCAATTTATGATGTTTGTTCAAGAATAAACAGCCCGGTTTAGTTTGTTCAATCCCAGAGAGCACAGCAACGCCGAGCCCTGGGCAAACTGATACGGTAGCTGCTGCGAAGTTTGGCGGCCAGGTTCGAGAAAGGCCAATCAGAGTGCCCCACCTTGCCCCGCCTTGCCCCGCCTTGCCCCGAGCCATTTCTTCAATCTTTGAAGCGTCTTCATGTCTGCGAGAGATAATGGGGCTTCAGGGCCCTGGCCACGGGCATGACGAGCAGCAGCTTGCCGACCTCGGCGCATGTCGTACCGAGAGCACGCGAGATCCAAGTGCTCGAGTTCAGCATCATGACCAGAGTTGTGATGTGTCTCTGCAGAAGGGCCCTACCCAAGCTCCTCGCAATGCCGTCCAGCCAGTCAGGCAGTCTCGGCAAGACCTGCCAAAGCAAAGACCCAACCATGTGTCTCGGAGCTCCAGAGGTTCAGTTCTTGGGTCCGTGAAGAGTTGTTGGAGTTCAGGGGCGAAGGGCTTTCAACATCATGCGGCGACCGACCTGGCCGATGACCTCCTGCTCGCGGGCATTCTCTGCAGCCTCCGGGGTTCACGGCATGGTATGGAACACGGCAAAAATCGAAAAAAAAGAAACAAAACTGCCTGCAACGGAAAGGTGAGGTTTTCTTGGGCCCACAGTTACTGGCACCCGTCGGAAGCCCAAACTGAGATTCTGTCAGGAATAGTTAGACAAGAACAAGCTCGTCCTCAACATCAAGTAGTTCTCGAGTCGGCAGATGTACACTCTTACCGGGCAGCGACCGGTCATCCACTCCAGACATTTATTGCAAGCCATGTTTTGCCACCAGGTCTCTTGCAGCCAGCGGGTACCAGACCTAAACGCTGAATGAACCCCAAACCCCAGAACCCCAGAACCCTAGAGCCCCTCACCTCCAGCAGTTCATCGCCAGTCGGGATCTCCCCGGGTTGAAGATCCACCCGTCGGAGGAGCCGCGAGCTGCCTTTCAACGGATTCCCAGACTAGGCTGTAGGGTTTAGGGGTTTAGGGTTTAGGGGCTTTTGGGTTGAACTTCACCACCTGCCTAGAGTGACTCAACTACAGCTCGGTCGCAAGTCCCAAACTTGCACGACAAAGTTTTTAACATGCTGGCCATAGCTAACCAAAGTATGGCAGTTTCATTTTAGGATTCAAGCTTTTTAAGGGTTCCCTGGGCATGCTAGTCCTCTCTTCAAGAAGGGAAACGGTTGCACGCACAACCACAGGGGTCCAGAAGCCCGCCTCTATCAGCGTGGCCATCTCGAGGCAAGACGAAAACCTGGCTCAAGGCTGGCATCAGTTCAGGCCTCCATGACCTCCACTCGCGGACAAGAAGGAAGCTTGCCGTGTGGCTCTAGACAATGGACGCAAGATTTGCCTAACAAAGCAGCGGCACGGCTCATCGGAACGTAGTTTCAAAAAAAGTGACGCAACACAAGATGCCTCTGTGCAGCACAGCAGTAGCACCGCTGGCAGCAGGCACCAGGCGGCTTCCCGCCTCAACGGACACTCGATGTTTCTTCGGTGTTGCTGTGGAAAAACTTGAGCCTCTTCCAGAACTCAGCGAAGTCAACGGTAACTGGACTCCGTTGACACTCCATAAAAAACAAGAGCTATCTGAATGGATGACGCGCCCGATTTCCAATACCAGCCCCCTCCCCGAGCGGATTCGCCTGCGCCTTTTGGCAGGACTGTTCCACAAACACCGCATCTCCAAGAGCCAACGAAAAGGCTGCAGAGCCCCAGGGCAACACGCAGCTCGTTCAAAGTTAGCGCCATATGTTCCTGCAACAGGATTCCATTGAGTTATAAGCGACATTCAACGACACCCGAAAGGTACCCCTCATTTTGGAACAATCCGAGCACTTACTTAGAAGTAGAGAAGCCCTTGTACTGGATTTGTAGTAGGGTGGTTAAAACATGTTGAAATATGTAGAATATTGCGGTTGTGTAGGAGGAGCGAAACACGACTGAGCACATGGATGGCTGCGTGCGCAGGCGGAAGGACCCAGCACGATGAAAACGATGCCCATGACCATGACAGCCTCCAAGCAGATGGGCGCTAGTGAAGGCCACGAGGCCTTTTTGCAAGCTTTGGGGTAGTTTTACGCCTGTCATAGTTCAATTGGTATCCCTAGCCATTCTCGGACTCTTGCCACTGCTACCCACACCACCGATGGCCTCGTTGACAAGGCGGTCTTGAATCGAGTCTCGGGCACCAATGGCCAGCACACCCAGCAAGATCAGAACCTGAAAGGAATGTCCATCGCACGGGGCTTTCACAAGTGCAGGTTGGCAGGTCGGGCGCCAGCCGCTTACATTGTTTGCGGCACCAGCTTCTCTTGGGCCTTCTGGGGCCCCCGGCAGCAGCGAACAGCACCAGCTTAAGGTTCTGCTCCTGCCGCACAAGTCCGCACAAAGACAGCGGCCAAATGCCAGCTCCAGAGCTTCTTTGCGCCGGCCTCGAAGTGCTCACAACTGCAGGCCCGCATGAACTTCCGCTTCCTCCGAAGCAGCCGAAGATCCGAGTCCCAGGGTCTAACAAAGACTCAAAGAGTGTACAACGAGGCTTCGGCAGACCGGCGCAAGGCCCGGCAGAGCTCTCACGTCAAAAAAGCCACAAGAAGGCTCAAGGAACCGTCATCGGCCCACACAACCCGCCCGAGTTTAAGAACACAAAGCGACACCTAAGCCCAAAGAAAATCGGGGGGGCCCTAAACCTCCCTCTAACTGCGCGGCGCACCTGCGGTGCATCTGGTACCGCTCGGCTGTCCAGAACCGTATGTCCTCGACCTGATCTTGGAGAAGCTTCTGCCACGGTGCTCAGCTGGCTCACTGCGGCAGTTGGGGTGGGGGCAATATCCAGAGACAAGTGGCAAGTGGCAAGCTCTGAAAAAACTCTCAGAGACCCGAAGTAACCGTTATGGTCCCCAGAAACGCCTTAAACCTAAGGCCCCAAGCTGCCCTGCACACTGCCCTGCACCGAAAGCACGTCCCTGAGCGTTACCAGCACAGAAGATACGACATAAGTCCAGAAGAACAGCGCCGAGGTCTCCGCTGATATGGGGCGCTCTGCCTTGGGGGATGCAAGGTTTAGCCATGGCGGTTCACGCCCCTAATTTGACCAGAACAGCATGACGCCAGTATAACTCTACCTCCCTTTGTCGTTGCCGAACCCCGCTGGCTTGGCCCATCGCCTCGGACCTTTGGAGGCAGCCATACCAAAACTCCACGCAGTCCCATGAAACTTTCAAAAACAAACTCTAGCGCAACCCGAGAGTTCAGAAACAAACAGTGCGGCCCACGACACTTCAGGCTCCGAAGCCTCATCGGCAGGCGCCTCCTTCGCCTCATTTCCGTTGGAAGCGCGTCGGCATAAGAGGTGTACGTTGAGGGCTTTACCCGTTCAAGGAGTCATCGGGCAGAACTTTGGGTTTTAAATTCAACTGCACTTAACGCTTGCAGCAGGGCAGTGAACGCACCGAGATGCATGTAGCAGCAATGTAGCAAGCCGGGATGCGCTTCTCAACTTGCTAAATTTTCAGCATACTTATATCAGCATCTTCAGGCTTCGCACAACTCCGCTCACGGACAATGAGCCCGCTGCCAGCGGCAGTGGTGGCACAACTGGGCGGCCTGCGCGGAAAGCGAAACACGGGGGCTGAGAGCTGACCATGTCGCACTGTAGGGGACGGCGGCTGAATAACCCTCTCTCTGCAAGCTTATTCTAACTCTATCACATTCTAGAACCCGACAACCTTGCATCCCTAGGACCCAAGTGTAACAGAAGCGGTGGTCAACCCAACTGGCCGACCAACAGAAAACGGAGCACCGAGTCAAGCCAGTCACTGTCTGGACTTCAGGCGAGAAGACCAAGTCACGTGAAATCGCAACGTGCAACGAACAGAGCGAGCATGTAGCATGAAGAAACAGACAACCCCTGTATGGCCAATCCACGGGCTCAGCTCTCAACACCGCTTAAGTTGCGCACCACGAATTCTGAAATGTGGCAAGGGAGACGGACAATCATGCTGCAGTAGACGTGCACCACGAATGGCAGCTTCAACACTGTCATACGGCGGCAAACATGTACCAGGAGTTGCAGCTTCAAGAGCCAGTTAAGGGCTTTCTTTTGCCACCAACACTGCTGCTAACGAAGTACTAGGATTTAGGGGTTTGAGTGTTACGGTTCGTTGTGGTTTCATGGCTTGCGGCCTCAGCACACCATTGTCCAAGAGTGTCCAAGACTCTCGAGTTCCAGTCTGATTCACATCATGACCTTCAACGAAGCCTATGCCACTAAAGCCCGGCAGTTTCAAGGCAATAGCACAAGTCACATGCCAGCCCGAAAGCTAAGAAAAAACTCAAGGCCAAGGTTGCAGACATCGAGTTTTGTGCCCGCATTTCAACAACCGGCGCGGATGAATGTTCTGTGCAGGCAAATCCGCCGCAACAACTGGGTGATGGCTCCCCCCGCTAGAGGGAACTCCGCAGTACCTTGAGACCTTGAGGTCCCCTGCAGCTGGGCACAGCTTGACATCGTGGGGCAGCTGACCTAATCCGGTTCTGCTGGAAGCTCTTCAGGTAGTCTCCGAGCGTTCTTGCGCACTGCTAGCCAGATGGTGCTGCCTGATTCGATGCTGTAATCGGACAGGTTGCGGCCATCTTCTAGTGATCGACCTTTGAAGACCCAAGCGCGATACTCCGGTGCCACGCCCTCAAAGCAACCTGGTGCAGCTTCTTCGATCTGGGCTTTCAGGGACTCGACAGAGGCTTGCTCCTCCGTTTGGATGTTTAGCAAACCACCTGTGAGCGTGCGGATCGAGATCCGAATCTTTTTCGGTGACAGCACCATGTCAATTGTAGATTCTGCTTGAATGTCGTGGTCTTCGAAGGTTAGTCTGTCCAACAACTCCTGCCCACAGCAGATCCACCGCTGTGAAGCGATGAACCCCTCAGCTTCCTGGACCTTGGCCTTCGCGGACTTGATAGTCTCAGATGGCTCAACCGACACTAGAATGACCTTGCCAGCCATCGTTTGCAAGTAAATCTGCATCCTGTCGGCCAGTGGCTGGCGGAGCACACGCCACCGCAGCGGTGCTACGATGCGACCATATCTCGGCTACCAGCTACCAGCGGATGCTGCGTGTTTACGGCATGTACGGTCGGGGCTTGAGGGGTGGTTTGGCATCTGCCAAGCTGAAAAGCAATTAACGTGTTGGGCTCATCTTCTCGCCACCTGACTAGCCAATCACGCAGCAGGAATATTTCACCGGCGCGCGCATTCTAGACTCAGACTCGACTCTGCGCGTTCCAGGTTAATGCTGAACCCTACACTACATGGCCCCAAATCTTAGCGACGTGCGTGCGTCATGGGGCAGTTCGTCCAGGCAGACAAAAAACCCCAACCTTTTCAACCCGTGAATGCGACGCCCTTTCTCGAACAAGCCTTCCCCGGATCGATCCACTCCACCTGATCCTACACCCCGAACCCCCCATAAATCAACCCTCCCTGACATCGGGGGGAGGGGGGCGCATAGCTTAGAGCCGCGAAATCATGTGCCGGCACCTTGGGTCACGCGCGGCCTGCAACCGTCTCCAGGTTCTACCTCCAGTGGACGGCACAAATGTAGATGCACACGCATATGCAGATGATTGTAGATGCATACCTATATTTATATTTACGTCTAACCAACACCGCGCCACCTGCAACAAGACACAGAGCTACTGCCTGAAACATTCCGGCTGACACTCCTGTTGAGGCCCCGGCCGTGTCTGAAGCCGCACCCCAGGCTTGCGCGGGCGCTGGCCGCACGGGGGCGGGCCCCGGAAGCGGCAGATCTTCTAGCGGACCTGGTTCAGCGTAGAAAGGTTTCATCGGAGGCATGATGGAAACGGCTCAAGCCCAAGCCATCAGACTCAACATGCCGACCAACTTGGTTTGGTAATGGCGGAGCTGTTGGGGCCTGAGTCCCGACCAGGCGAGTGCGCAACTGGTGCCGGCTTCAGAGGCGCCGGGGGTGGCAGCTCAAGGACTTCGATGCCTCGGTTTGGGTTTGGCAGATTTCCTGGACTCGGGTTGGCGCTCGGAGGGATTAAAGGATTTGCGTCCACTCAGCTCGTGAGTATCGCCAAGCCTTGCCGGAACCACCAAAGCGCATAGCGCGCTCCCTCTTGCTGAGGGCTGCACCGTCTTCCAGGTCAGCATCCGAGTGCACCTGCCGTCCACTCAAGCTGGCCAGCTCCCATGCCTTCCTCTTAAGAACGCCAATCGAGCGCCCTGGCCGAAGCCAGCCGCTGCAAAAAGAAGCGCTCAAAAGCCTAGTTTTGCCCACCTGCGCTTGCAGCGGCGCTCGCTTGACAGGGGCAGGGGGCGGCAGCGGCAGCTCATCTTCGGAGCCTTCTCAAGAAACCACGTGGGCTTTTTTGCATTGACGACTGCCGGGTACAGAGCTCAACCGATGGAGCGACTTCGACAACACCCCCAGGTTACGATATGGAACCTCAACAGCAAAAGAGTGTACTCTGATTCTACTCTGAGTCCGCGCTACCTTTGTTTGCCACAGGTCTCGCACCGCGGGTACCATTTCAGGGAAAACTCAGTGCATTCACGACTTGCCCAATGGGACATGATTGGAGACATCCGCAACTTGCTTTTTGAAGGCTAGGAACAAGGTGGACGCTCTTTCCGGGCTTGCGAGGTTGGACTGGGCATGTCTACACCGTTCAGGAGTGCCCGGTTGTGTGCAGGATTCTCTGGGCGGGCGCTCCAGGCATACCCTGCAGCATTTCTATCCCTGGGGTTGGGAATGGGAATGCCAGTGGCATTTTGGGGCATTCCCTTTAATATTCTCTGCGAGATTCTGTGTCTTCTCTGGTCTGGGTGGGCACTTGAAGCGTGCTCCGTGGATACCCCACGTAGTATCAGGGCACGGCGAGACCAAGGGCGGGGAACAATAGCAATCACAGTGATCAGAGTCACAGCTGTGGAACCAATAAACGAATAATCTCTCGAAGAAGACGCAATGGCAAACAGAAGGCAAACACAGCCACCCCCCCCCACCCACCGCCTTCAGAGGAATCGTGGCGAGGCGCGGCTGAAGGCGCCGGCTTCAGGGGTGCCGGAGGGGGCAGCTCCAGAGACTCGTTTCCGGGGCCTGGAGACCAAGCAAGAACGACACACAAGTCTCCTGGTCCTGTGTGGCAAGGCTTTTGAAGAAAAGGCTGCAGCGGACACGGCAAATTGTGACAGAGTATGTTTTTTCAATTTACTGTTGGAGCAAAAACAGACGGCATCCCGCATGACTTACCATTAAGCCCGAGGTTTCTTTGATAAACCACAAGCTTCTGCCCGCTCGGACTGCCTCACACCTCAGACCGAGGGCTGCACCATCCAAAGCACTGCGATGGGGGAGAACCTGCTGCACTCACACGGCTCCAAAACCTGGATGTTTTTTCCGCGCTCGCACTCGCACATAGCAGGCAAAAGGGGGTCGCTGTTCTGTGTGTTCTTGCCACCTACCCGTAGTGCTAGCTGGCTCGCACCACACCGCAGGGCGACTTGCTGCAGTGTCCGGTTTGGGAGTCTTGGTCGGCACCTGGTTTGCCGGCGCTTGCTGAACCGGTGCCGGGGGTGGCAGCGGGGGTAGCAGCGGAAGATCTTCGGCTGAACCTTAGAACAGAGGGTGGGGGGCACTCACTTTGTCATCACTGCACCTGCTGACCATGCACCATCATGCATCCACGGCTGCCACATCGGATTCGCCTTTCTGAAGTCAAGCAACCATCAACACCCTGCGCAGCAGGCGGCTGCTTCAGCGTTGGTGCTGGCGGGACACGAGGTTCGGCATCATCGCTACCTCGTGAAAAAGAGGCAGCAGCAAGGCAGAATAAAACGCGTGACTTGACATGCCACTCCAAAGCCTTGAGGACAGGTTCGAGTCTGAGGCTTAGGCTCAGACTCGGACCCTCCTCGTGAAGTTCCTGGCTGAGGGAAATCTCTTCGATCTCTGACTCCGCCTGCCACTCCACACACCGTCCCTCCATTCGGGAATCCGAGCCGACGTGCACGATGTCCACAGGATTCCACAAGTCGGCTACAGCACAGAATTAACCGTCGAGGCACGGTCACCCTCCCTGGGGGTGCTTGAAGCACTGGCGCTTCTGGTGGCAGTGGTAGGTCTCTTGCTTCCTGCACTCCTGCCATGCTGTCACTGTCTGAGGCACATTGAAGCGAAACCTATCCGAAGTCAAGAAGCTACGCGGCTGCCGACGCGGCTACTCACTATTCTGGCAGCTCAGCCGACAGAGTTGCTGCTCTCTCTACTGAGGCTCGCACGAGTGGCCCAGGACCTCCGGGCCTCGTCGAACTGCCGCATGCCTGACAGCATCCCAAGCTGGTGGTGGAGGCCAATGCTAAGCGTTCGTAGGGGCCTAGGGCCCCTTTCAGGATCTGTCTCGAAGCAGCCTCAGCCCAAAAACCGGAAACCCCAACTTCCAGGAGTCCATCACTCCCCTCAGGAAGCATAGTGAAGCATAGTCTGAGGATCCACACTCAAGACTTTCTTAGGTTCAGTGGCTCATGCAGAGGTTCGATAGGGGCATCACCAACCTAGCTGCCGAGCATTGCTGCGCCAAACCCTGAACTTCCTTTCCGGGGCCCAGCTGGGGCAGGCGCCGTTGACGGGCGATCACATTGACCATGGCCCCCAGAAAGTGATTCCGGCAGAATGCACAAGATTCTGGGTTTAGCTTGAAAGCCTTGTTTTCATGAGCACCGGGATCGCCGGAACAGCATTCGCACACCACATTAAATTCCCGGAATTGGGGGGGGGGGGCCGGGGAACCTCGAGTCGTGTCAGATAAACAGTGATATCCATATCTCTCGTGCATGCTTCTTCCACTTCAGCAACTCAATTCCCGCTTCGTGTTGACGATCAACTTGCATGGAAAGGTTCATGGCTGAATTAAATGATGCACTGGCGCGAAATGCCACGGAAAGGCACAGCCACTGCCGTCACCGAAAAGCGCAAGCGAGTTGCCGGTGGCAGGTTTGGCTGCTGTCCTGCAGAACAATGTCACGGTCCGTGGCAGTCGTCTCATTTATACGATGTGCTTAGGAAAGTGCGGTCACGGATGCTAAGCTGCTAAGCTCAGCTTCGTCCGAGCTCGGTGCTGGAATTCCGAAGGCCTGAAGTTGGCGAGGCCATTTCTTGAGATTCAAATTGCACCACAGGTGCGAAGATGACTTCGAGGATCCTCGAACCCAACCCTAAGTGTCACTTAATGCTGAAAGCATGATTCCACAAGGCTGCACACTGCCTATCAGGACCTCTGTAGTCATCGGATCGAAGGCTCTTGAGCCCACGATGCCGTGAGTACTCCGAATCTAGGGATGCTATGAGATGCTATCATCTTTGGGTCTGCAAAGGAAAGCCTATCCGACCGTTGCGGGACGGTTTGTCGACGTGCAGTGATACAAGTCCCCTGCGGGCGCCACGTCGAAGACTGTGGTGAAACGTTTTCTCGGCCCTTTGCTCACGCCACTTGGCAACGCCGACGAGTGTACCACCGGCAGTGCACCGTGAGAACCGTGCGAGTCCGAGCGTGAAAGGGCACTTTGAGATGCGGACCTCGTCTTGGACGAAGATCTCTGCGAGGATGGGCAGCCATAACTTCGGCTGCGGTCGAGCCGCGTAGTCGAGCTGGACTTCAGTGGAACCTGGTTTGCCTTCTCCACTGCCTTCTGGTGCTCGAAAGCTCTGCTGCCCTTCTTCCGGCGCTGCGGGATTCGTTTGCGATTATCTTCGACGGGAAAGACGGGAGGTGCTTTCAGAACGCACTGTGGAGCCTCGGATAAGACGGTTTAGGGCCTTTAGGGATGGCATGCATTTACGCAAGAGTCCTGCTCCACGACTCACTACTCCTACCCGTGGGCCCAAGAAGCAACAAAACTACTGCAAGCACCACGGTTGCAACGACTCATGGCACCAAATTCACCAGGTACCCTCTGCAGCCAGGGAGCCGCCTTGGCCTTCAGGCTGCAGGGGCTGGTAGCCTCAGAATGTTGATGTCCCTGGCGCTTTGAATGACAGAGACTCGTTCAGGCATATTCGGCTCGTGACGAAAGCCGATAAGCACTGTGTGTTTCGAGCTCATGGTCAAATTTGACTGAGCTGGAGCTGTTGAAGTGGAGACTTTCCTACTTGGGGGTTGTTTTGCCCTCGCCCAGTCCAATGCTTCACCTTGGCATCCGAGAACCCCAGCTCCCTGCACCCTAAATCCCTCAAACAGTCGCTGCCTCTGGGATACACCAGAACTCCACCATGCCACCCCGCCCCACTCTCCACTCGGAGCCCTGGAGCCCTGGAGCCCTCCCTGAGTGCAGGGACTGGCCGTGCGATCGTTGACACCGATGTTGGGGCCTTGATGGCCGTGCGGAGGCGCTGCAGGAGGGCCTCTCCAGGTGCTTCTCTTCTCTCTGTTCCCCCTGCGCGCGAACTTCATGGCTCAGACCTTGATCTACTTGGGGCTTGGGGATGGCCACCTGGCTGGCTCGCACCGGGATGTAAGGCTCGCGTTTTAGGGTTGGGAGTTGCGGTTTTTTATGGTTTTTTGCTGTTTGATGTTGGCTTTCGCCTCCAGGTGCAGGCAGGGCCCGGTCGAGCAGCGGTTGAGGATGAAACCCTTACAAGCTCTCAGCATCCGGGCCTCGCGCGCTTGCCGCTCATGATCCCGGCACCGGTCATACCTCATACGCTCTCTTCCTACAAGTCTACAAGTAGCTAAGCCTTCCTTCACCGCTGCTTTTGCGTAGAAGAAGCATGACAAAAGCCATGAGAATTATGAGTAGAAGCTATGAGTACCAACATTCAGCACCCGCGGGATAGCAGGTGGCTACGTGGAGAACTACGAGAGCATCTGGGAACCGCGCCAATCCCGGCAATCCGGCCGCGAGCCGACAGCCAGCAGCAGGTCATATTGCCTATGTCTTGGGAGTTTCTCTGCGTATGCTACTTTGTGGCGCATGAGCGTAGGAGACTGCAAGAAGGCAGCTTCGTTCGGCCTGGCTACGGGCGTCTGCCTTCGTGAGGAAGGCTACAGGCACTAGACTCTTACCCTCGAAAAGTCGTGGGGTTTGAGAATCTCTTTGGCACCCCCTATATAACCTTTAACCATCCATCTCCTTGGTCGAATTCATGCTAGATTTATGTATCACCCTCCAGACCATCGTCCCTATCAATCTGGGAAACCTTCTTAAACTTTCAAGGCATCCCCAGATTGAAGACCAAATCCCCGGCGGTATACTATCTCCCCAAGCGTGCAGACGGCAAAAAAGTTGCCACCGGAAACGCTCACCCAGACCACCACAACCTTTATGAACTTGCACAACTTGATTCATGCAAAGATTTCCTAACCCCAGTGGCAAGGGAATCTCTTCGTTCCCTCGCCTCTTATGGTTTCACGATAGTTCCTTCTTTTAAGATCGCCCCGATACTCCTGAATCGATACTCCTGAATCGATACTCCTGAATGGATCCAGAGTCAGAACTATTTTGGGAAAGCGTATCATTCCCCGTGGTAGAATTACAGGTATAACTGTATAACTACAGAATCCCCGACTCCACTCCGAGGCCTTTCCCACCTGGCTTTCCCCCCGACGTTTAATTCTTTCTCGAATAGTATGTCTCACACCTGATGCCCGGGGACCTCTCGGGTGCCAAGGCACTGAACTCGGTAGGCCAAGCAGTTGGAAGCAGCCCGAATGAGCGCACCACTGTCAGCCAGGACCCCTTCCGGCACAAAGCTGCCTGGGGGGCCCCACAGGCTCCGCGAAGCAAACGCAAAAAAAAATCAGCACAAACTCCCCCTAATCTTTTGCAGGGAGGCTTAACTTTGTCAACTGGCTCAACCAACACGACAGCGTCGGAGACGACAACATAACTGCAAAGGACTTTTGCAGTCGTCCAACCTTTTCCCTCGGAACCCCCTCCAACACGCTGGAAGCCAGTCCTTTCAGGACATGTCGGGCGGTAACGAGGCGCTTGGTTCAAAGATGTTGAACGCTTGACAGAAAATGTGGGCCCCCAAGAAAAATCGCATCACTGTTAAATCTGTTAAGCAGTTTAAGTTGAGTACTGGCCGCGCCCTCGGCTTTACTCAACATGTCGCGCTGTTCACAAGCGTTTGCCGAGTTTTTGTCTGGTTACACTGCGGCCTTCCTTTTTGCTACTGCTTCCAAGGGACCGGCTTTCAATCGCGAGACCCGCCGCCCGTCGACCTCCACGTGGGCGAAGCCCGCCACCAGCACGCCAAAGTGGGGCCCAGAAGGGTGCGAGTCCTTGGTGCAGCTAAGCCCAACTCTCTATGTTGTACGTCTGGTCCCCTCTGATCCCTGCCTGCCTCCCTTCCAGCAAGCAAGGCCCGCAAGCGGGCGCTTGTTACGTGATCCAGTCGGGGTGAGACTGCCTTCTCTCTTTCGCTGTCACCCTCTCACACAGCGCTTGGTAGCTTTGGAGTTTCTCAACGGTTTCTGGATGTTACCATGCTCTCCTCACTGCACTTGGCTTTCGGGTGCGACGAGGATTGCAGAAGCGTTCTGGCTTTCCAAGCCCAGTTTCGGGCATTGGTAGCCACACTTCGCCTGCACAAAACACCAACAGTGGAGCAAACAGCGAGGAAAATTCCGAACCAAGATGTAACAGCATCCGCACAGCCACGAAGGAATCGGCACTTCCCCGGCATCCCCTCGAGTCGCCTGGAGGTATGTCCATGCGCTCTGCGTGCAGTGCCACGATGGCAGCACAGGGATCTTGTGGCGAGATGCCGAGGGGCAGCGCGCACATTGGCACGCACTGCTGCGACTGCTGGCCTGCGTGCGGACGCAGAATGAAAGAGAAGCAACACAGTATCGCAAAGACCCTGTCACCCCTTGCTCCCCAATGCTTGCCAAGGAGCATCTCTCGTATGCCAAAAGAAGCAGTGACTCCTTGACCCGCCTGAATTTGGCCCTCTCTAGCACTTCTTGTCCTTGGATGCACACGACCTTCTTCGCACGATTCGACGATGCTCGACTCCTTATCCTTTTCCCTCCTCTTTTCTAAGAACCGACAACCCAGAGTTTGCACACTGCTGTCAGGTGGACAGGAAAAGAATCCTCCACACCAGCAAGGCGTGGAGGCCTCAACAAGACGCATCGAACTTGAGGTTGGAGGTTGCATGCCTAGTCACGAAGCTCTACGACGGTGCAGTCCTGCATCGCAACAAAAGCAAGCAGCTTCTCAGGTTCTATTGCTGCCACTTGATCCACCCACTGCAGCATCCTGTGGACAATGCCGCTTCCCGCTCCTGCAGTGCCTGCACTGTCGCCGTACGAACGTGCAGAAGCCCTCAGCCAAAGGAAGCAGACGACATGGCGTCACAGAGATTTTCGGAGCTCTGTCAGGATGCTCAATCGCAGGTGATGCTGTATGCAAAGGCTAACGAAGCCAAAAAAAAACCAAGCTCCTGGCCCATGAGTGCCGCCTCACCGAAGGAAGCACCCGGTCCAAGGACCCCGACCGCACCAATCTCCTCCAAGCGGGGCACATGATCGCTGCCCTGTGGCGGAGTTCCTTCCTGGAACTCTCGCTGCATAGATCATGGGACATTACATGTTTAGACTGTGCATGTGTGGTCTCTCTTCTCATTGGGCCGGATGCCCACATGTATCTGCCTCTGTCTGCAGTACATGAACATCTCTCCTTGGCATGCACCTGTGCATAACCATCCACAAGCACTATCATTGAGTCGGCGGGTTCGCCGATCAGGCAAAGCGCGTAGCCACAGCGCACTTTGGTGGCACGCAGCTCTGTAGCCAGAAAGGTCGCCAGCTCACCCGGCGAGCGCGCAAAAGCGAGGAGACGCTTGAGCACCGCCTCGACTTTCGTTCGGAACCGCGGGTCCTCAATGCTCTGTTGCGCTTGTTCCTGCGAGATGTCTGCACTGTTGATGCCCCGGAAGCTGTCGACCTCGCCCATGCGCAAGCGCTCCTGCTTGACGCGGACATAGTTATGTGCAGAGGGGCTCAGCAGAGGAGCAGGTGGAGACGTAGGCAAGGGCTCCCCGTCTTCCGACACAACTGAGGCCTGCGAATTTCTGTTGGAATCTTTAGACCCCAACGAGTCCAAGTCGTCGAGGTCCATGGCTAGGGACGGGCAAAGCCCATTCTCTACCCCAAGTTCTCCGGAGCTTTGGTGGATTGGCTGAGAGGAACCTGTTCCTGAAGTTCTACCTGCATGCGGGTCCAGCTTGGCCCAGCTTTGGCCCAGCTTTGGGCAGATTGCTATGCTAGAGTGGCTACGAGTACAACTGCAACGATGCAAACACGCAGAGAGTCATATGATCGTGAAGAACTGGCTCCTTCTTTGAGGTGAAACGAACTGCGGCGAACACCCGGCCTGAAAGCTCCCCTTGTCGGTCAGTCAGCTCCACATAGCTCCACCACCCGTCCGAGTCTGGAAACCTTCCTTTTCCTTGTGCTGCCCGCAACAGCCCGAACATTGGTATATGGGTGCTCTGCATCTCCACTCCAACAAAACTTTTCGAAACGTGTGCATCTGCCGTGCCTTGCGAGACGTCGGGCCGCCTTGCGAGACGTCGGGCCCTAAATATCACCTACGCGAGGCTGCAGATGCACCTGATGCACAGAAGCGAGGGTTCTTCGATTCTGCATCGCGTGAAGGTTCTCGACATTCCCGGCTACGCCGGCTACGCTGACAGCCTCTTGGTGGGCCAGGGCCGCGCACAGGCTCAGAGCTCATCGTTCGGGGAAACAAACGAGCTGAGGCGGTTAACCTCTCAGGCATTTCCACACAGCTAGGGCTTTCAACGTGCATCGGGGGAAACAACTGAAAATCCTTAGGGCCTCTTGGGCAGACGAGTGCTTGGGAACCACACAGGTTTAAAAAGTTTGCGATGCCTACAGGCAGGTTCCTGCGCCTTCAGTGCCATGTCCTCCTTCTTGGCTGGCGCAACTTTACCTCCTGCGATGATCTGTTTCAGGCGCTCGAATTCCGTCCTCGGACAGCCAGGCAAAACTTGATCAGCTAGCACACTCCATTCATGATTTGTTCGTCAACACTTGGTCCGCCTCTGACCTCTGAACACAAAGCACTATACTTTCGAAGGACACCTACCCTCGGACCAACGACTGAGGCGGGGCATCGTTCCGCGAAGACATCTTCATCCACATGCTCCCTACGACTCTACCGAACCCAGGGAAAGGACGGATCTGCTGATTACTCAGCCCTTGGTTCGAGCCACAATTGGAATGAGCGGCTTGAACCACTCGCTTTTGTCCTGCGTCTTCTCCATTGCCTTCACGTAGTAGGATGCCGCATCCTTGTCTGCTCCTGGAGGGAACTAAGAGTGTTTGCATTGTGTGGCTTTACCTTGTCCATGGCATGCCTGGCCTGACAAGGCCTCTGCTGCTGACTTAGCAGTCCTCAGCCGAAGAGTTGGCAAATGTTGGCAACATCGGCAGCACGTAGCACGGAATGTGTACCCACTGCACTAGTAGGGAAGACTGCGCACCGCTCGCTGTCTTTTGCCGGTAGGTCCCTTTACTGCGTTTGTGCGGCACTGCTCACTCAAGTGTCTTCAGGAAAGGGGGCCACACCAAGCCCGTGTAGACGTTCAGGAAAGGCACTTGATGACATCAGCTTTGTCCGCGCCGGCCTTGACGAAGTCAGCTGCAAACCTTTGCTGCGCATCAGAGCGTGTGCAAGCACAAGGCAGAGCCAGAGCAGCCAGCTCTGGAGGCAACCTCGCCCGCCCTCTTCCCCTGAGCGCCTTACTTGTCAAATTCGCGGATCGTGCCCTTGAGTCCGAAGTAAATCTTTGCCTCCTGGCAGACCGGTGTTGCTGGTACAAGCTTTCAGCATGCACATTTCAAGTATTTCAAGTACACCTTTTGTATCACGTTGCGCACTTACGAGTCCTTCTTGAGGAAAAGTGTCATGGCATCTGTCGCGACTTCGCCGGTATACTCAATGTCAGCACCACCATTAGCTGGAAACAAGCGGAACTTGGGAAACATGGTGTCCATGTCGCCTTGCAGTAGTGCAGCAATCTGCGTGCATGCATCAGCAAAGAAACCAAAAGCAAACAGGAGCCGCCTAATTCAACAAAGCCACTGTATTCCAGATCCTTGCCAGGCGTCTTGTATCCGAACTCTTCGGCCAAGTCCTGTCTGCTGCAAGGAGGCAGTCTAAAGAACAGTCAGTGAATGGCATTGTCCCAAACTGGGAAGATGTAAAACCCTGTCATAATCTGCCTGTCCCTTCCAACCCTGATCGATGCTTCTTCTTCGATTCCTTCGCGTAGAGCACATCTCAAGAAGCACAGCCCAACCCTACCGTCAAGTTTCAAGCGTGTCGTAAGCAGATGCCTAGCGCAACTCATCATGCCAAAGGGCGCGAAAACGAAAAACCTTATCAGTCAAAAAGGATGCTCCTGGTTCATCTTTTCTCCGTAGGTTGAGATGCCGACGCTGCCAATGAGCACCTTCCAGTCTCTGCGCTCACGGGCGACTGACTTCGGTACCCATGGTCATGTACCCTTGGAGGCTTTAGGATCTTAACGCGGGCTTTCGGACCATAGTATTCCAGAGTCTCAGGGTTGCGGGTTCAGGGTTGCCACTGAACCTCAAGCAGCACATGCCAGTTTGCCAGTACGTACTGCACCTTGGCGCCCACTGCCGTCTGCGCTAGAGCTTTGAAGGCATCGGCCTGCACTGGCTTGAGGGTTAAAGTTGAGGCGTCAGGTTTTTCTGATGAGGAGTCAGGGACTTATGTGGCCTCTATCATGTAGAGGACATTTGGTTCACGGCTTCGACTCTCACGTTCGTGCATGGCAGGTAAAGCTTCGGAACCTCTCATTGGCAATGCTCTTTCGCAAGGCCCCGCACTCCGATTCCGTCCCCCCGACTAAGTCAATATAATATATAGGCATTTCCCAAAAAAGGGATACCCATTTCGTACCCCACACAGAATAGAATCCCCTTAAGGGGAAATTTCAAAGAAGGTGCCCCTATTCTCGGAAACCCCCACATAGATCTGCCACGCTTCACATCCAACAGTACCAAGATCACCTGCTCGGGAAGCCGATTCGGGCAAGCACCACCTTCAAAGTCCTTAAAGGGACCCAAATTAAGAGCATTTAAGAGCCCAACACCCGCGAGACCTCGGACACTTTCAGAGTTTTGGGCCTGGAAGTCTTAAGGGGGGGGAAGGCATTCCATGTACTTTGAAAATACTTGTGAACTTCAGGGAAGATGCAGGCCTTTTCGCCGTAAGGGTAGTCTTTGTCAAAGCGCACGAAGGCAGGAATATCCTTTCCAGTCAACATCTTTAGCGTGCTGTTGTCCAAGTTCACAACGTTGTAGTCGGCAGCCTTGGCTATACAAGTGGAGACTCCCAGATTTTGCTCAAGCTTGTCACGGAGGGAAGTCTCAGCATCTAAGAGATTAAGCACAGCCCTTCAAACTGCCAACATTGTGCTGATCCTCTCCAGTGGCCGACAGACTACTGACTACTGCCAGCCCGAGAAGTACAGCAGGAAAACGTGCCCCAACAGCCATCAACCATGAAACCCCAAACAAAGCTTCAATAAGCTTCTCCCCACGGTCTACAGAGTTAAGGCGAGCATGACCTTGTTCGGAGAAATTGAGCTGCAATCTGCAGGATGCAGATGCAGGCGACGAGGAGCAAGAAGGATCTTCAGGTGCGAACGTTACGTGGCAAATCAATGCCCCCGTTAGAAGCCACTGCGACCCTCTTCTGGCAGGCTGCGCGCGCTGCCGCCGCCAGCAGCGCCAGAATTGAGAATCGAACAGCCATGGTGCTCCTAGCAATCTGTACACCTCTGCTTGAACACAAAATTCTTGCCGGAAGCCGCATGCCGCTCGGCGCAGGCCGTGAGGGCACAAGCCATGTAATTGCCAGATGTCAGTTCGGCAAGCAAGTTTTCGGACTAAAGGCCGCCACGCAGCACACACGCTCAGTCGGAGTGGCACCAAGCATGCACTCCGAAGAGTCCTCTACTGAATCCGATTACTATGTGCATGGCCACCTGCACGCATGACCCTGCCACAGCAGACACCCGCGATCCGCCACTTGCAAGAAGTGCTTCATCAGTGCTTCAACTATCACATCTGCGCAAATGCTTCGGCGAATCGCAAGCTGCACATGGACACAGTCTACGTGTACATGTGGGGTAAAATAAGGGGTTGGTCTGTCACAGATGGACCTCATACAGTCAGGATCTGCCTCTCCACGACACAGACACACTCGCCTGAGCCCAGCGTCACGGCCACCTCAAGGTCGGGTTCGCATCGGGCTCAGCTTTTCAACAGCAACTTCAGCCGGCCAAGTGAACCAAGTGGCTTTGGGCACCTAATGCACCTATTCTGCAGTTAGGGCTTCGGGATTCAGCAGTTCCAGCAGTGCCGCCTTCCGCGTGACCCAAATTGCTGAAATTGAACAGCTACATAGGTTCGTTGCCACTTGCAAAGCTTGGGGAAAACCCACCACGCCAAGAAACACACGTCAGAGGGTTCGGTCGAATGTAGGCCCTGAGCCTGAAACACTCCTCTTCTTGTTCTTTTCCTGCCACGCCTTTACTCCGCTTTGTAACCCACTGACAAGCAGCCCTAAGCTCCAAAACCTCCAGATTGCCCAGTGACACAGTGGTCGACATCCGCACAGGAGTTGGCAGACAGAGGTGCCACAAGTAGCTCGGATGAGGACACATTCGCCCACCACCTGCAAGCTTTTACAGGGTTCTGGACCCCGAGCTTCAACTCCGTTTGGGACTTCGGTAGTTGACCCGTGGACTGCCCAGGAATTCTGAATGGAGATGGCTTCATACCGTGGCAACGATGGGCGGGACAACACTGTCGCAAGCTCAACCACAATCGCCTCTTGGCGTCTGCTTTCGTGACGTTCCGCTTTGAACGCCTCGGGTCAGCTGAAGCCTTGCGCCTATGCACCAACACATCACAGTCCACGTTTGGTGCACATTGCTACATGGATGGAGTGACGGCTTCCAGTCAACACCCTACCGCAGCATGAGCACATTCCAAACTCAGGAGGGCAGCAGCACACACGAAAGATGGTCTTGCATGTCGCCAGGTAAAGAAACGCAGGCCAACTGACCAAGCACGCAACATCACTGAACCGACATTCCAGCTACTAAAGGCTATTAGAACTTCGAGCTCGGAAGCTCAGTGGAAACTTGTAGTGCAAGACGCTCCAGCTGCACATCCGCCCAGACTGCGTCGAAGGTCTGCTGGGCATGCCAAGGTATGCTTGCGTTGGTGAGGACGGCCTCAACGAGGGCTCTGCATTGAAAGAAGAACCCATAAGTTCTAATGCGCCCAAAGTGCCCAAGGTGAGAAGCAAGGAACCACCCAAAGCTTGCAATGTCCGGCATACTTGAGCCTGTTGATCCGTTTGTTCCACGCACAGTGTGCCAACACTTGGGGGTGCTTACGACCGCAAAAGGGCGTTAAGTTGAGAAAACGCGGACATTATTCTTCAAGCGGAGTTGCATTTATTGACGACATGCGAACTATATTCCACAGCGTGGGCGTGCGCCAGCGTGGGCGTGCTCACGGATTTCCCGGGACCTCATGTTGTCCAATCGCGCTATCGCCCTGACTCTATGCGCATTTTTGTGGTGTTTATGGGGGGGAAGCCGTGCTCAATGCCTAGGTCCGCTGCGCTTTTTGAGGCTCCGCGTTGAAATTCTGGCAGGCGCGTGGAATCCTGCGATTTGGGTTCGCTGCTTGTGCGGCCAGACTACGGGGATTTGCACTTCGGAATGTTGGAAATCGCGCTCCCGCCTAGGCCTAGGCGCCGCGCGCATCGAACTGGGTTCGCCGAATGCAAAACAGTCGTCGCTTTTGGTGTTTGCGGAGGACATCCGGAGTCGACGTGTGTAGTGCAAACGTTGTTGGCCGGAGCACCACCGATTATCAAGGGAGGGTGAGGCAAAAGACCGTAAAACGGAATGCATCCCTCTCGATGCGTGCCCCGCTTTTTTTCGGGTGGATCAAAACGGAATCGAGGGGGGATTGTGCCCCCACTGATTCCGCTTCGATTTTTCCATCACCAGGGGGTGAACCCCTCGTGATTCCGTTTACATATATATTTTTTTCGATGCCCAAGATTCTTCTATGATGAAACATGAGCGATGCAAGCAACTGCAAACGTAGTACGCCCAGGACGTCCGGAGCTGGGCCGAGAACGTCCGGAGGTCCAGTGGCTCGAAAGCCGACGCTTGCTGTACAAACATAGTCCCCATCAAGCCCTTGACATGTTCTTGATGATCTTTGAGTTCTCTTGAGGGATGTTCTTCGAGTGCCACTGGAATGTTGTCTGGGAACGTTTGGAGTGCTCTTGGTGTATGCTTGGAGGACCCTTGTAATATCTTACGTTTCCACATGGTCTCCCGGGCTTCATTTGATTTAAGGACAAAGGGGGCACGCGTCATGTGACGCGACGTGGTCAAGGCAAGCAGTACAGCTGTCAGGCTGCACACAATTCAGGACGAAAAGGCACGCAATGTGACCTGACTAGGCAGGCCAGGGAGGCTGAGGCGGGCAACTGTGCCGGAATGTTGCCTTCATGAAGGCTTTCGCTGCACAAGGTGGTTTCACCATTCCTTCCAGCCTGGCCGCAGGGCTGTGGGGCCCATTGGCGGGCTTGGGTTCGAAGCTCAAGGGCTTCCCGGAAAGGTTTCCTTGTAGGCGGGCTGGGCGCTGCCCACACACTGCAGCTGCAAGCCAAATCGCAGTGGCTGAAGTGTAATCTCAGGGGTTCGAAGATGATAAGGGCTATCGAGTAAAGATTCACCGTTGGCGGGCCCAGGGACTCGTAGAGCTTAAGTCAGAGGTTATGGAGATCGAAGTTCACGAACTTCTCTTGTAAGATGTCATTTAAGCTTGCACTTTTCACAAGGGGCTCGACTGCTGCCCTTTCCCGAAACTTCAGCTGCAAAATCAGCATGAGCCCTCGATCCTGCTCGTTAGAATGTGGTCTTTTCGGAAAAGCCGGAAGTGCAACAAACCCCTTGCCGAGCTACCATAAAGCCAGCAACACCCAAACCTCATCTTCGTTGAAACACCAAACCCAGAGGAAAAACACAAAGACACTGGATGCTATGCCTTATCTTCTTCCGCCGCAAATGAAAGAAACAATCCGGGCGTGCTGCCTTAAACAGGAACCCTGAGCCAGCACTGTAACTATAACTCCTTCCATTTGGGCGTTACGGATCTTCGAGGTGATGTGCTATGATGTGCTTGTTTGACACCATTGACACTTGCCGCCCCGTCGCCCGGCCCTACATGCCCCTGCCGGCCGAGCTGCGATGCTCGGGTCTGCGAAGCGCTGGTTGCCTCGGCAGTGCCAACATTGCTTTTCTGACTCGATCGACTTGTACAATTCCCAGCGTGCTCCAACTGCTGAGAAGTTGCTGGGGAAGCGACCAGGGTCTGAAAAGTTTTTGTCGTGTTTGCCTGGATCCCCATATCCAACGGCCCAGAATAAGGGCCAGGATCTCTTGGCCGCGATGCGCTGCAGCTTTCGGCCATCATCTGTGCCGAAAAGTCTAGGAAAGTTTCCGATGACATGCTTCACAGCCTCGGCGCGCATGTGCACATACACATGCATACAAGAGCACATCCATAACGACATGCGCATCTACATACGACGAGCACACAGGCATAAACTCATGCGAAACGATGCCAAAAATAGTAGCAGCAATGATACAACTGAAACAGTGATTGCATACAATATAGGACATGGTAAATTGTGAATGGCTAAACAAGAAATAACAAGTAGCTACCAGAAATAAAAATAGCAATGCGGAAAAAAAAAAAAAAAAAAAAAGTACTGTGAATGGGCATAACCTGAACTTGTGTGTGCAACTTCGGTGAATGGGTTTCAAACACTCTGCAAGCAAAACCTTTCTTCCAGAGGAAGCATACAAATTTAAAGCAGAGTCACTTGTTTTACAGTGCTAGCTGAAAAAGAAATGAAACAACAAAGGCTCAGTGTGTGTGTTGATGGACGTTCTTGGTTGTCTTCTGTTTTCCGCTTGTGCCTGTGCTTTGCGGCTTCTTCGTGGGAACTGCACGACGGCCAGAGACAGCAGCGTTTGAGATCGGAAGCCGGTCTCAGGGCCGGGCATCATGAGCATCAGCGGCGAGCCCTCTCACCTCAAGCCGGCCTCAGGCCCAGCATCATGAGCATCAGGCGTGAGACCTCTCCTCTCACCTCAAGCCGGCTTCAGGGCCGGGCATCAGCCGCGCGCCCTCACCTCAAGCCGGCCCCAGGGCCGGGCATCATGAGCATCAGCCGCGAGCCCTCTCCTAGGGCCGAGCATCATAAGCATCAGCCGCGCGCCCTCTCACCTCAAGCCCGCCCCAGCGCCGGGCATCATGAGCATCAGCCGCGCGCCCTCTCACTTCAAGCCGGCCCAAGGCCGGGCATCATGAGCATCAGCCGCGAGCGCTCTCACCTCAAGCCGGCCTCAGGGCCAGCATCATGAGCATCAGCCGCGAGCCCTCTCCTCTCACCTCAAGCCGGCCTCAGGGCCGGGCATCATGAGCATCAGCCGCGCGCCATCTCACCTCAAGCCGGCCCCAGGGCCGGGCATCATGAGCATCAGCCGCGCGCCCTCTCACCTCAAGCCGGCCCCAGGGCCGGGCATCATGAGCATCAGCCGCAAGCCCTCTCACCATTCTCACCTCAAGCCGGCCCAGGCCCAGCAGCAAGAGTATCAGCCTCGAGCCCTCTCCTCTCACCTCAAGCCGGGGCATCATAAGCATCAGCCGCGAGCCCTCTCACCTTAAGCCGGCCTCAGGGCCAGCATCATGAGCATCAGCCGCGCGCCCTCTCACCTCAAGCCGGCCTCAGATGGCCTCAGGGCCAGCATCATGAGCATCAGCGGCGCGCCCTCTCACCTCAAGCCGGCCTCAGATGGCCTCAGGGCCAGCATCATGAGCATCAGCGGCGCGCCCTCTCCCCTCCAGCCAGCATCATAAGCATCAGCGGCGTGCCCTCTCACCTCAAGCCGGCCTCAGGGCCAGCATCATGAGCATCAGATATCAGCGGCGCCCTCTCACCTCAAGCCAGCCTCAGGGCCAGCATCATGAGCATCAGCGGCGCGCCCTCAAGCCGGCCTCAGGGCCAGCATCATGTCTCTCACCTCAAGCCGGCCCCAGCGCCAACGTCATGAGCATCAGCCGCGCGCCCTCTCACCTCAAGCCGGCCTCAGGGCCAGCATCATGAGCATCAGATATCAGCGGCGCCCTCTCACCTCAAGCCAGCCTCAGGGCCAGCATCATGAGCATCAGCGGCGCGCCCTCTCACCTCAATCCCTCAATCGGCCTCAGCGCCAGCATCATGAGCATCAGCGGCGCGCCCTCTCACCTCAAGCCGGCCTCAGGGCCAGCATCATGAACATCAGAGGCGTGCCCTCTCACCTCAAGCCGGCCCCAACGCCAGCGTCATGAGCATCAGCGGCGCGCCCTCTCACCTCGAGCCGGCCCCAGCGCCAGCGTCATGAGCATCAGCCGCGCGCCCTCTCACCTCAAGCCGGCCTCAAGACCAGCATCAGGAGCATCAGCGGCGCGCCCTCTCACCTCAAGCCGGCCTCAGGGCCAGCATCATGAGCATCAGCCGCGCGCCCTCTCGCCTCAAGCCGGCCTCAGGGCCAGCATCATGAGCATCAGCGGCGCGCCCTCTCACCTCAAGCCGGCCTCAGCCCCAGCATCATGAGCATCAGCCACGCGCCCTCTCACCTCAAGCCGGCCTCAGGGCCAGCATCATGAGCATCAGTCGGGTGCCCTCTCACCTCAAGCATCATGAGCATCAGTGGCGAGCCCTCTCACCTCAAGCCGGCCTCAGGACCAGCATCAGGAGCATCAGCCGCGCGCCCTCTCACCTCAAGCCGGCCTCAGGGCCATCGTAGCACTTCTTTTCAGCTTTGAGCGGTGGTATGGGCTTTTTCCAACCGATTCTCCATCCTTGAAGCCGGCAATACTGCATTTGTACTCATCGCTGGTATCCCACTGTCTGCATTGCAGTGTGCGTGCAGAGCCTTTCTAATTCTTTGAAGAACAATCTAGTCGGATATACAATCTAGTCGGACATGAATATGATGTTGCCAATCGTTGGCCGAAACTCTCACATGGAACACATCTTCTGCTACCAGACGCTTGCTTGAGATCAAAACTTTCATGCAAATCTTGAGTAGAAGGTCGGACTGCCTTGACCATACAAGCTTATCCAACCTTGCAAAAAGCCCGGATCACCATGGAAACGACCTCGGCGATATATGCAGCAGGGAAGCGTGTGGCAAGCGCGGGTTGGCCAAGATGTCCGCTTCCAAGTAATTCCCCATATCCTTCATATTGAGACCGGGTAGATCCTGCCAGCATCTCAAGGCATCTGTCCTGTGTGATGCAACTCCAACGTCTTCCCGTCACACCGGGCCTCATATGGTGTGCTGGTAAAGGCCCTGGCCCAGAGAGTTCGGACTCCATCCCTCCAAGTCTCATTGGTGAAACTGCGGTTGTACGGCACCTGGCCAGGAAGCATGCTGGCAGGGTGCGCAAAGAGTTTGGACTTCAGAACTCCGGCCAAGCTGGGTTACACAGATCACCAACGTCTACAAGTCCAAGCAAGAGCCCTTCTCTCCTTGATGGCATGCACTCCCCTGTAAGCGAACCCCAGCAGCTACCCACATTGGTGCCTAAACGTAAGTTCGTCACTAATCTACTGTAACTTCTCCCGGATGTCCATGAATCATGCACCATCAAACTGTAGAATGGCAACATGCAGCCCGTAGACGACTTGGAGAGGTTCAGTCGTTTGCCTAGAGCCATCCCGCAACCTTGCCCACAAAGCATAAGACGGCCTGTAGGTTGGGCAGGATGAGATGGTCAAAGTGATCGAGCGTACCTGCAAGATTCAGAAACACACGTTCGACCTGTCTAAAAAATGTATAACAAGTATGCTAGTTAATGACGGTGTGATATGTGTGTATGTGTATATATGTATATATATATATGTATATATATATATATATTTTTGATAACCAAACAATAAATTGACAACATAAACAATATACCAAAATAAGATGAACAAACAAAATTGTTGATTGTGGTGGTCTGAATGTCTGACGCAGGCCCCGCGATGACCAAAAAAACGCCCCATTCAGGCTGCTTCACCCGGCGTGCAACCCAACCTGGACCCCCTACAGAGGCCCGATTGCGAGGCCGACCGGTTACCCCGGCGCACAACCCTTGTAGAGGCCCGAAACTTCATATAACCATATACAAACATGTAAACAAGATAATCAGGTAGCAATCATATGAACATACAATACTAGAATCATAATCTTTGAATATCACATTCATACGCTAGTCCTATCATGTTTTTTGCATTCTGCAACGGAGGCGCCAACGACGGCCGAAGTCCAAGCGCTGCAATTCAGAGGCTTCTTCGCTTTCGGGATGAGGTATTCGGGCACCAAGCAGTTCATCGTGTACAGCCCCGTGTCCTTACGCACACTGGATTGCCAGTTCTCAACCCCACGCCATCATGATTTGCTTACTTGTGTTCTTTCATTGTGTTCTGTTCGTTCGCAAGAGGGCGTCGAGTCATGTCGCATCCACATGCTTTCAATGACCACTTTGACAACTATCGTCCCAGGGCTCATACGGTGCAATGACCACTGAATTCCTTACGCGGCTGGTGTTGAAGACGACTGTCAGGTCCCCAAAGCCTGGCAAAGAGCCCGTGTCCAGACGTCGCAGGTTGTGCCTTGCAACATGGCAGTCACAACACAAAAGCTTTGGACATGCCAGACGAGGCTTGAAGACTGCAAAGCGCTCGCGAGCAAAACACCGTTCAATGGACCTTTCATTCAAGTGGGAGTATGGTGATTTTGATTTAATCGCTCACCACTCGGACATGCCAGGGTGAGCGTGCAGGGGGAGTGGGCGATCCAGGTCAGCCACAATGCCTGTTGCAAAACGTTCAGCTCTGTCGGGAGCAAACTAACACCCACTGGACCCACTCAAGCAACTTGGCAATGAGCTACTGTAGAACTCAAGCAGGACCATTCCGATGATTAACCTTCCCAAAAAGAAGGGACCACAGAGGCATACTTTGGATTGGCTGGGGGTATTTGGGATTGTCGTAAGGGGCATAGATATTGGAAGTACTTGAGGCCAGGGACTGGCCCAGGTTCTACTGAGATTTTATGATCCTGGGACTGAGGGCCAATGGGTTTTCAGATTCTGGTCATCAGAGCTCTTGGTTTCTTTCTTCCGCTGCGATATTACGATCAAAGACTGTTTCACTATTGCGGCTATGGCGCGCTATGTAGATCAACCGGTTTGCAGCTTCAGGCCACGTAGGCCGCTTGCCAGCGAAAGGGCTGGAGCCAAAAATCCGTTGTTGAGCGAAGTTGTTGATCCGCGCAGATTTGGGCGTCCTTGGGGAACACGCCACAATCTACCCCCTCGGCCAGGAGCCCGACCTTCTAACATGTCCTAAAGCACTGCAGGTGGGATGATCACTAAACGCAAGGGGTTCTCCAGCTTGCACCTGCCCTAAGCCCTAAATTTCCGCAAATTCTTCTGTCCATGGCTCACATTGTGCATCAGAGAAGTCTGGAACTCGTTCGGGAACCAAGACAAATTGCCGAGCTCGCTCTCCTCACAACCACCAGAGGCTCATAGAATGGAAACAACACACAGCCAAAGCTCTCGGGCCCTGGAACCTGACAAGCAAATCCTACGCAAGAAAGGGGAACGAAAAAAACATCTCCGTCACATCGTCAAAGACGGAGATGCCGCCCTTTTGCTCGGAGGGAAGTGCCTCTGCAGCCAAGGCCGCCATTTGGCGTGGGGCCGCAGAATGATAATACAAATCTGCGCGCAGCTAGCAGCTAGACAGCGTGCTTTTTGGCAGAGCCACCGAAAATATTCTGATGAGGTTAGAACTATTAGAACAGCTGGAGAAGAAGAAAAAACAAATTCAAGCAAAGGCCCTCAGGCTTGAACGCCGTCAGGAACCCAAGTCTCGTGACAGGAAGCTTCTTCACGCGCCCGTTGCTTTTGCAGGTTCTGCCATGAATCTGTTCAGAAGCCGGGTTACATGGGAGAGCTCTGCGACTTGGGCTTCTGCTCGGTACCTGTGCACAGCACAGAAAATGGACCGTCGACGTTCACGCACGCAAATGTCAGGCTTTGGGGGTTGTATGCGATTCTCGTGGCATAGCTGATGGCAAACGAAGGAAGCTGTCAAGCAACTGAAACTAACAAAGTCCGGCTGGGACTAAGAGGGACACCAACAACTACAAGAACAATGAGTTCGCTTAAACTTAAATTTGACGAAACCCTGTGATCTGCTTGCAAAGCATCACAGTGCATGAAAAAGAAGTGCAACTTCGCTTTTCTGCTGACAACAAGGTCTGGTTCAACTACGCAGCCATCAAGGCAGATCGATGGGCGCGCAGCTTTGGGGGCCTGTTTCCTGCCAGGACGCTCTTCATGTTTCAAGGGCTGTTGGCCAAAAATCACGGTCTTTCCTTGCCCTCTGCCATGGCCAACACAATCTCGCCACAATGGAAGCCATGTCTTGGCGAATCTTACCGTCTCGCCGCAACGAGCAGGAAACCCTCCCAAAGATAGCACTCCGCCGAGCTAACCAAAGCTGTGCGCTGAGTGGCACTGTAGATGAATTAAAAGGCTATAGAAATAGCGACTAAACAGACACAGCTGGCTTAACTTTAGCTTATGTTCCAAACATAAAGAGATATTCATAAAGCCAAAGCGAATGGTGGGCAATCGGTCGCATGTGGTTAAACTAGTCTGGAAGTCTTCCGGTGCCTTCTCAGCAGCTCCTGAGATGGCAACTCGGCGACATCGGCGCAGCAATCCTTCAGCACACGACGAAACTCTGCGGAATCGAAGAACTCCAGCACCTCCCGCGGAACATATGATCTGCTGCTTCATAGAGAAACTAGCACGTAATAGACACAGCCGCCTTAGGTGTGGCTGCGTCGCTGGCTTCTTTGGCTGCCGCGGCTGTCTTCTGGAAGAGGCCTGCAGTTGATTGTTTGTTTGCCACCCGCCTAGGAAAGCACGGTGGGCCGTACTGTAAGAGGAGAACTTCGTTGCAGATACACCCATGCAAACTTGAGGCAATGGCTGACATGACGTGGGCTTGAGGGCCAGGAAGGACCCTACCCACAACAGTCGCCACAAATACCCACTACAACTGCCTCACCCCACTCGCCAGTCGTCTTTTCTCAGTCCTGACCCTGAAACGCCCATGTCGCCCGTGACAACTTGAGGGGGCCCGGACACAAAAACCACTGAACTCCAACCGCAGTCGTTTTAGCTCCCTTTCTTGAAAGGCTTTACCCTGGCAAAGCAAAACTGAACTGCTCGTGGGTTTCGGAATGCAGCATGCGGAGCTGGGAGAATCTAGTCTGCTGCTTGCCTTAGCCAGACTTACTACGCCTTATGTTCACGATATCTTCCAGGGGTGAAGTGGCCGTCCGGTCAGCCCTGGTTTCTGGGACGAGTCTCTGAGCTGCTCTTTGGTCTGCTCGGGCGGGACCGGCAAGGAGGCCAGCGCCAAAGGCAGAATTGCCAGCAAAAGACGAGGAGTCATTGGATGGTGCAAAAGGACAGATACAGGTCCTAGCAGCCAGTCATAGCTTGAGCACTCCCACATGTGACCGTACGACTTGCTGTGCGGAGAACATGAGTAGACAGACAGTAGAATAATCGCGAGGCCCGCTGCCCCTTCACGCACCGCTCGGATTCTTTCAGGGTCTTTTTGAAGATTTGGCATGGGCCTCGCAGCAGCCTCCCTTTGCAGAGTCTTTGGGCCCCTTTTGCTGGGGGCCGGCACAAGATGTGTGCGTGTCCAGCGGACGAGAACTGCCCGGCAATCGAATGAGGAAGGCCTCCTATATGGCAGTACCAACAAACAATGTACCCACCTCTTCCAGTTTCCCATCACTACCTTGGAGGCCTTCATTACCAGTTTCTGCCTGGGCTCCTGTACAAGATGAAAGAGCAATGTAGATCACCATGCACTTGGTGCCTCTGTGACCCACGCGCTCTGTGGAACACGAAAGCCGTAGGCAGCACCATTGGGGCTGAGCAGCAGGCACAGGCAGCTATACAGTCTGCGACCTCACTGCTTGCTGAAGGCTGTTATCAAAACCACACCAAGGAGTTGAAGAGCTTCCGCTGACCAGTAAATCCTTAGAGGTATCGCAGGGTCTGCATCAGACGCGTGCCTTCGGGCAGAATCGCCTTTAATCCCTTCTACGCTCGGACTGCATTTTTCGGCGCTCGCATTGAAGCAGCTATTTCTTTGTGGGGTATGCGAAGCTTAGGGTCGCAGCTGGCAGCTGAAACAGGGGCGAAACAAGCACGCCGTGAAGGGCCCAATGCTGAGAAGGTGCAAAAGTTGCCTCCTGCCAGTTATTTCTTTGAACCTTGGGCTTTCCCGTACTGCAGTGGCCTTCCCTCTCAAGACAACAAGCGTGGAGGGGGCCACCTGCGTGCAAGGCACCAACAGATTGAGACCAAGCTTGCCACAATGATCGGCCCGACAGCATCTAAGGTGTACCCCACGGCGAAGCCAAGCCTTGGCTGGACTTAAACTTGTTGACTTTAAGATGTGCATGCAACCTGCACGCTCGAGGCGGCCCTTCAAACCACTGTCTGTGCCTCAAGGTGGCTGGTGGATGCCTTTCATCATCAAGAGGAAGCCCACCGACCAGATGCAGCCGCTTATGAAAGCCGGGCGTATCACAGAATGCAGAACCGGCTTTCGCCTCAAGCGCGCTATGCCAGAGTAGATCACGTAGATGGCCTTCGTAGTCTTGAGACTTCACAGAGAAGTATTTGTCTAAGCACGTGCCCCAAGTGCCGCGAAGCAGCTGTGGATGCAAACCAAACGCCGATGCACTGCGGAAAAATGACGGCAGTTGAGGGGTAGTCTGGGTGCTCCTGAGCGCATCTGCTGTGCAAACTTTACCCTGAGGAAAGACCCCTCTGGTTCCGGGATGTTCGGGGTTTCACGGCGACTTTCCGGGCTAAGTGGGACCAAAACAACGGCCAGACAGGAGTAGCACCCTGATCTGCCATGCCAAAGCTCCAAGTTGTAGAGTGTGGCCGGCACGCTCTGCACACCTGCCAGGCTGCCAGCCACCATGGCCTCAGCAGCACGTGCCTACCTGGCAAATTCACACCTCATGTTTGGGGAGCCTTCGGTCAGCCTTGGTGGGCCAAGCATTGCACGACATTTTGGGGCGCTGCCTGTCTTAAAGCTCAGACGACTGCATAAGGTTGATTGCGGGACGAAACAAGTGAGGCAAAGCCTCCAGCTACACAAGAGAAAAGACGTTACGTGCATAATTTGCACGCAATACCAGGCTCTCCGGAGTCCTGGTCTTGGCCAGTTGGCTAGGTTACCTCGTGCTCTGCTTGGCCGCGGCACGAGGAACCTGCCTGTGAGCTGCACGCTCTTTGGCCAGAAGTGAGTTGATCAGCGCCTCTGCGCGAAGCACACAGCGAGCAAGCTTCGTCTGGACCAAGTGCTCGAGACGCGCCTGCATGCGCTCTGCACGTCTCCGCTCCCTTTGTTCGAGCTCCGTTTGTCTTCTCTTCTGGGCGGCTTCCCGTTTTTCTCGCAAAGCTTGACGCTTCAATCGGTTGGCGCTGTAGACAGACTCGGCCCGCCGAACCAGGGCTTCGGCCTCCTGTGCACTCCGGGTGCGGACAGCCCAGCAGGAGCGGCGCTCGGCCTGCATCCACTGGCTCCACACGGCTCGGATGCCTGGCCAACCTTGCTCCAAACGCACACGCTCGGCACGCTGCCAAACATCTAGAGCCTTCTCGGCACAATGCATCCGCGGGGAATACAGCATTTTGCCAATCCAGGGTCGGGCATCAACAACAACCTGATAGCTAAGTCCGATGTCCGAAAGGCCTTCCACCTCCTGCATCGCCCTCATGACACTGCCCTTGAGACGATCGAGTAGGTCGGAAGACTCCAGCCCAGAATCACTCTCTTCAAGTTCCACCATGCGCTGTCGAAGCATCGCAAGAACCGTGTGGAAGTTCACGACATCCTCAAGATTTCGGCTCACGCGACTTGCAAAGCAAAGATTCCTGTGGACTATCCTCGACTCATAGTATACCTGGTTCTTCGCAGCAATGGAATAAATGCCACGCAGAAGGCTCTTCTGCCTTCTTCTGCACTTGTACGAGACTCTGCCTTTATCAAGGTGCTTTGCTGGTTCTTCCACAGACGATCTACGATCGGGCTTCTGGGCTTCTGCCTTCGGTGAAGCTGTCTGGTCTTCAATGGATAATGTAGGACCATCGCCTTCACCTGGACCTGGACCTACTGAGACGCGGCCATCGCAATCGGGAAGTCGGCCATCGTGGCCCCCTTGCTTGGATCTCTCCATGAAACTCAGGAGGTTGGTCCGTAGCTGCTGAGACATGTTCTTGATCTGCTCCAACCTGGTTGGGTATGGACAATCCTTGAGAATCCCCTCGAGCTGCCGAAGACATCGCTCCAGCATCTGGGACTTTCGCCTCCTTCCCCGGGCTTTGGCCGTCGCTGTTCGGGTTGGGCTTGGCACTTTTGCAGAAAGCTTCTCTTTGGGACTGTGTTTGTGCTTTGCCTGTTGGCCAGGGCGGTCCTGGCTGTGAGACATGGCGCACGCTTGCTGCCGCAGCTTGGCATCGTAGGAAGCCCGCGCGTGCCCCGAGAACAGAACTTCGAAGGCTCTCACCACAAGGCGGAACTCTGCAGAAGAGCCACCCTTGTCTGGATGGGTCGAGAGTGCTTTGCGCTTGTAGGCAACCCTTATCTCGTTTGTTGACGCAGATTCTGCCAGCCCCAGCACGGCATAATAGTTATGGCTCTCCTTGCGCGCGACCCTCATGGCCATGCCAGCTTGAGGCTGGACTCAGGTTATGCTACCTGCCTATATAGCTGACTGGCTTTGGCCACCCGTATAGCTGACAACCATCTTGCTTGCATCGGGGTCGAGGGGCATAAGAAAAACCTGCCACATAAGCCTTGAGTTTTTGCCACCCCGCCAAACCCTTGAGTTGAGGGCTGAAGAACCTAGGGGATTCATTGGGTTTAGGTTTCCTACTGCACAACTCGAGACTCTCAGTGACCTTCTAAGCCTGACCTTCTGAGCCTGATCCGGACAAGATGCCTCCTCAGTCATGCCAAGCAAAACAACCCTCGTGCTCAAGCATGTTGGTGGAGGATGCGAAAGCTGCTGGAAGCAGCTGTTGTGGCTCCGAACCGACGAAGCGCAAAAGTACATGCGTACATGCGTGCCTCACATTTCAAACAGAAAAAAAGACACTGCTGGCAGAGTTGCAAGCAGCACCCCTAGAACGCAATTGCGCCACGGCTGCTTCCTGACGTGGGGGCTGTTTTGTCGGGCAACATTCATGAAGCATGCTGACAAACCCAGCTGCGTCATGCGGCAAACTGCCCCAGCACCCTGTTGCAAACTAATAAACAACATCAAAGCCAGTATGCGGAAAAACTATCACAAGGGTTCTGGTGAAGCCCCCCCCATGGTGCGACATCCTGCTAACAGCACTACACTCTCATCAAGCAACCCATGACTACAGAAACTCGAACACCTTGAGCTGAAAGCAACTTTTCGGCCTCCAAAACTTGGCTCTGCACACCTTTCCACCCCAGGACCGGGAAGCCTTTGAACCCCTTGCCCCCAAGGGTTTAGGGTTTAGGGTTTAGGGTTTAGGGTTTAGGGTTTAGGGTTTAGGGTTAGGGTTTAGGGTTTAGGGTTAGGGACCCCGCAGTTCCCGAGACCAGTTGGAAGAATTCCGGGCATCGGGCCTTGCAGGAGGCGGCGCTTCCGGGGTGACCTGCGCCCGTCAGCTTCCCAGCAGGGTTTCGTATGTTTAGAGTTGCTGAGGGCGTGGGATGCAAGGGCCTGTACAGAGAGCAAGAGATTCATAAAGAGAGAGAGAGAGAGACAATAAAAAAAAATAAACAAAGAGAAAGGGAGAAACAGAGCGAAGGAGAGACGGTGGGGAGAGAAACAAATAACAAAATGCATACATATAAGAAGCATATATACACACACACATATATATAGATATATATATATATATATCTATTTTTTTATTTACCTGTATCCACCCTCTGGAAGAATGCACGCTACGTGGCAAAAGTACCGACATCTGCCGAAAGAAAATCTCGGAGTCACCTTCAAATTTCAAAGCCAAAGTAGCCTTGAGTGCACAAACGTCATACGTTGCACGCTGCGCAATGCTGCGCACACTGGCTCTTTCGTGATACTCTCCCTCTGACATCGCATCTGCATGGCAGGATTCTGATTGCATAGCGCCCCAAGATGTCAGGATGGATCCTCCCCGACAGTCCTCGGCCACATCCGGCACCTCTGGGCTGAACTCCTCTGGAAGTTCGCAGAAGCTTTCAAGACGAGTCTTTTAAGTGACTTCCTGCATGAGCCGGTTTGTAGGGAGCCAGGGAGCCGCGTCTTTTTCCCTACGAGGCGACAGCCTCTGCTTTGGATGCTGCCACCCTGCACCTGGCTGCCGGAAGGCAGCGTCTCTTGCCCAGAACTTGCTACCACATGATGAAGCCACTCGAAGAGTCTCCTCGATGTCGTCGCCCTCGTCGACTTCCAAAGCAAAGGCAGAGAAAGCGCTGGACTCCAGAAGGCGATGATGCCTGCCGCACGTCCCAACGCTTCAGGCCCAGAATTCTTGGGGTGCTTGCCCCTGGCTGGACTGCGCGCTGCCGGGACATGTCGGGGTTCAGGCAGGGACACAATTCAAAGATGCTCCAAAATCTTGAGTCTATGGCAGCACTGGGATTCAAGCTTCCCTGATTTGGCGCCTTACCTAAGATGTCCCGGCCACAGCCCCAGCAACGCAGAAGAACATCGGCACAGACCCTGCCTTTGAAACAAGGCCCTTTTGACCCCACACATTCTGCGCCTCTCTGCCGGAACCTCCTCGTAAGTCTCCCCTAGCTGGCCCTTGCCGTGTACCTTCCAGCACTTCTGCTTGGCCGGCTTGGGACAAACGGCTTCGAAAGCTTCAGTCTTGGGCGTCTTCCGCCTCAAAAACATGAGGCAACAGGCACATGTAAGCCAAGGAGCGGTGGGTTTAGGACACGAACTGTCGGCTTCCTTCTCCTTGGACGTGTCTTCCCCGCCCTCCACGAGCAGCAGTGCAACCTCACCGGCCAAGGCCGCAAATTGCGACATATGTGGCCGATGGGCCCCAAGTGAAGGGAAGGCTTGTTAAAATCCATATGCAGTCGTAGCAGCAAATGACACCAGGATCAGGCAGCACCCCACATCGCACACGTAGAGACCTAAATCTGGGTTTCATGCCTCCACCTCCCTTCTCACCACTTGGGCCACTTGAGGGTCCGCAGTGGCATCCAAGCTGCTTCCATCGAATGCAGGCTCCAGAGTCGGGAGTCCGAAGAGACCGTTCCGACCCACCACATAGCCTGGGCTTGGTTCCCTGTTCCCCGTAGCCATTGAGACTCAAGCCTTCAGCGCACGTTACAAGACTACAGGCAAAGCACACAAACAAGGCACAGAGGTTGCTCACAAAGCCAGGCGTCCCACGATCATGTTCTGAAAATGGTACAAGGAAAAGCCTAAGCCGATGCCCAGCAGTTTCACCAGCGGCAGCACTGCCTCAAGGCAGGTCCGGACTCCGATCCGAGTAACTCGAGCCAGCGGTCAGCGGCGCAGTCGTATCGCCATTTTCGGATGGGTGTCAGCACTAGGAAAAGGGTCATATGTCAGATACCATGCAGAATCGTTGTGTGTGCCAAGCGTGCCAAGACACAAAGTTGGACAGCGCCCACAAAGAGCCACCGAAAACGACCTTCGGCGGCACACCTGCGAAAGTTCACTCATTTCCAGCCAAAGGCGAGAAGAAGCCCCGAATGTGTGCTGTAGAACGCCTTATCTTCAAGCTTAACCCTTTCGGGCCCTGTGGACCATTTGACAAAGGCAACTTGTTGAATTCCTCTGGGTGTGGGTGCCTCTACTCAGATCCCCGCCCAACATCGCAGCAGCAAGGCCGACAAATAGGATGCCAGAGCACATAAACCACCTCAGCGCACTGCGTGTGAATTCAATATTGTAAAGTCGGAAACACCGGACTTTTTCACATCTGCTTGTGGAGTTGTGACTTGGCTCCGCTTGTGTTGACCAGTTTCTGAGAGGGCCAATTTCTGATTTGCTGCTTCTGACTTTTTCTGCGCCGCAGTTGCTGATTCGCAGTTTCGTACTTGCAAGCTGGTTTCTGAGTTTTTTCACTGATCCACTGATAGGGCTACCTGCATGAAGGTGGCAGACGCCGACTGACGCGCCTCACATCGCTGGAGTGTCAGCTAAAGCCCGCCTCTTAAGGCAGAAGCTGGGGCTCTCCCGGACAGTGATACAGCGCACATCATGTATTCATAAGTTGTAATGTATTAGTACGTCGTATCACCTGATCCTAACCGAAAACCATTTCAAAATCATGACAGGAAAGACTGGCTTGGAAACGCACAAGGTTAAATCACCTGAAGTCAGCCAGGCAACTGGAAAGTCGTCCCATCATAGATCCTTGGCCAAGGTCTGTTCTGCACATCATATTCAGTTTGGTTAGGTGTCTTCATTTTGTGCCGGCACACAGCACAAGGTCTTCTCTCTCGAACAAGACTCTTGTATTTCTTGACCGGCACATACTGCACGCCAAACGCAATGGCAGCTGCCACAGCGGGGGCAATACCAGATAGGCCCATGCCAAATGAGGCCGACAAAACCCGGCACTCTCGTGCGCTTCGTATCTTCGTGGGCGATGTGCTACAAGTTCTAATGGCTTTCCGGCTGCTAAAGGTGCAAGTTTTGGCGCTGCTGACGGCTCCTGGTCTAGATGCCACAACGGTGCAGTTGTCAACCGTCTCATATCCCTGCTTGCAACCAGGTGCGGGCAAGTCAAGGCACATGCTGTTGCATCATGCTCTCCGACGAAGAAGTGTGTGCATGGGCCCAGGCAAGCCTGAACTGGTTTCTTCGGCTTCTTCCACGACATCCACGCATCCCATCTCTAGATCACGTGAGACTGTCACATGCCCTCAGCCCTCAGCAGGCGCCGCTTCTACCTGGCGTACCCACATGGCAGGGAGCATATACAAGTAGCACTTAATCACAACACACCCAAAAACTCAGTGCAGAAGCTATGACAATGAGCATCGAACACACACGGCTGATTGGTGATTCGATGTTTCCCGGACCGCCTATTGCTCGAGGGCAGCACCTAACCACATTGCCATTTCAGCACCTCAAAAAAAACGAACCTCAACACGCTTCCGACTGACAACAGAACGACATTCCAGAAGAAGAACAAGCGAGGCTAACTCCTTCAAACTTTCACAGCCAGTTCCACTTCGAGACATGGCAAGAAGAGCACTTCTCATCGAACGAACCTGCACACAATAAAGCAAGCACAATCTTACCCAACCTGCAGTTCTGCGGCACAATGTCAAGCAATGCTTGGCATGCGGGTGGCCGAAGCTGGTCTGGGTACCAGGCTTTGAAGGCAGTGGCCAGCCCACTTCTCATGCACCAGCCCACATTCCGCGTTGAGCACGATGCGAGCATGGTGTAAAACCCGCAGCACAGGACGCTGTTCCGCGGGCTTCCTCGGGCTAGATGCTCGGCCCAGACACCCACCCCCCTTAGAGGGGGGGGATGCTGAAATTGCAATTTACATTTTGGGCCCTCGTGATTTGCGGCACTCCTCGGGCGCCAGTTATGCAAAATTGTAAAGTAAAAGCGTTTACAATTATGCGCCCGCTCCCCCATTTTACATGTTTAAGGGGGTGGGGGTCGGCCCAGCTCTGCGCTGCCGGTCCACATCACAGCCAAGCATGTCAGGCCAAAGCAACCCAGGAGCTGCTGAATGTACGAAAATCGTCTCGGCACTTCAAAGAAGCACGAGCAAGCGCCTGCTCGTCCCGACAATATCAACAGAAAGCTATACAAACAAGAAGCCTTCCACAAGAGCCATAATTATGGGCTGCATGCACAAACAAGTTGGGGGGAACCGCCACGACAGGTGGAATCTGCCGAGGCTGGACCAGGGGCCATGTCATGGAAAGGCAAACGATGAATGCCACGAACATCTGACAGAGTCGGAGGCATAGCCCAAAAACAACCGCTGCCGGTAGTTCGGCAGGATGTTCGGCACGGTCCTTCAACAGCACCACTGGTTGGGGACATTGAATGTACGCGTGGCATCACACATGGAGCCAGATCAAGGATCTAAAAAGTGCCATGGATGTACTTGAAGAAGTTGCCCAAGCCAGCTGGTGATAAACGCAGCAATTAACTGAAATCCAAGCCCGTGAAAAACCGCTCACGCACGTCCCAACTACGCACAAACAACCCAACACTTCGGACGGAGACTCGACAGGTGGGTCAGAACTTGGAAGTAGAAAGATGCAGAAAGCGGCAAAGTTACATAACCTCAGAGCCTCAGGCGTGGACAGTTTGACTAACCACATGTTCTGGTGTGCTTCAATTCCTCATTGCATGAGAGTCACAATGAGTCACACGAGGTGACGCAGCTACCAGCAGGGGCCTGTCTTCTTGCCAGCCTGCCTGGGCAGTTGGTGAACGAGTGAATCGAGAACAGACGGCCCTTCCCGAGCTGGGGCGCACGCAGCCGAAGCAGCACTGCCTCGCATGAAGCGATGGCAGCCTCGAGGCGGCGGGAAGCACAGTGTTGCCGTCGAAATGGAGACATGAAGAGAAGAAATCACTGCAGAGCTGTCCATGTAAGGCAGCAAATAAGGCGGCAGCATCTAAACCTCGCAAAATAAACGTCAGCTGATCTTGTCTACTGAGCAGCGAAGGGCTCTGCTACGCTGCCTGCGAAAATGGCAGAATGCAACCTGTTCAACAACCGCAAGGCCCCCGCCATGGAGAATGTCAATCTCTTGTTCGACCTCATAGATGACCTGTGTCACGGCGACTGGCTAGCCCTGCACCCCCCATCCGTCCTCACGATGCGTGCCTAACAAATACACGTATAACTTTTCACAGCACAGTTCCGACAGAGACGGTCTCTGCATGAACGTTGCAAGTGGGCAGAAGTGTCCAAGGAACACCAAGTCATCACATGTGCTCGGTCCTGCCATCGCTCACGCTCAGCCGCAGAGCTGTCCTGCAGGCACCGGGCAGTTTGTCGGAAAGATCAAGGGTTTAGGGTTTTTGCCACCCGACTAGCCACGGCAATGGTTTAGGGTTTAGGGTTTAGGGTTTAGGGTTTAGGGTTTAGGGTTTAGGGTTTAGGGTTTAGGGTTTAGGGTTTAGGGTTTAGGGTTTAGGGTTTAGGGTTTAGGGTTTAGGGTTTAGGGTTTAGGGTTTTGGGCCACCACCTTCTTGCGAGGTTGCTGCAGCCACCGTGACCACCAGGAGGCCTCCCCGTGAGTTCACACGCGAGACGGGATAGACAAGAATCTGGCTGCAACTTGGCAGATTCCATGGGACCCTTTCCTTTAGGGGGCTCAAATTCACGCTCGCCCAAATACTTTACAGATACTAGTACCAGTACTAAGACTGATGCTCATATGACTGGATTGGAAAGAATTCCTGTCAGTCGTGAAGCATTTCCTTCGATGGCAGCTTTGCAGGGCTTAAATTCGCAGGAGGCATGGGTTTAGAAGGATTCTTTTGAGTTTTAAAGCACTTCTTTTTTGCTGGCATGACGTCCTTCAAAAACAAGGTTTGCAAGGCTTAAATTCGGGGGCGCCCCCCCCCCCCCCCCCCCCAACCCCTTTTGCCATTTGCCAACACAAAAATACCTGAAACCTGGTCTTCTCGGCTTTCAAGTTTGTCTTCCTTGTTTTCCGGATCGGGTTTTTCTGATTCCGACCGGTGCTTTCTGAAACCGTCTGGGTTCCGATTTGTTTTGCATGCCATCGATGCCAGTTTACCAAGGCTCGTCTCTGCTTGCAAGGGCACCGGAAAATTTGTGAGTGTTCGGGTGTTCTTATTCTGCCGGTGTCGTTCTTCAGCCCATCGCCCTGCAGGGTTTTGGAGCTTGACGTCCCACCTTGACTAACTTAAAGCAACCTAAATTGCTAGTTCATGCTCATACTTACAATGGCTTCAAAAGGGAGGTACTGAGAGCAACTACACTGACCACATGGCTGCGAGGATGGCTAGCCTTCTGATCAGCGTCTTGTGCAGGCGTCTCCTGCAAGGTCACCCAGTCGGGGACATCCCTCGGACCCACTCTCGCAATTCCGCAAGCCACTAGGGAGCACATACCACTTAGCAACTCAGCTGCAATACATGTGCCGTGCCAACGCAGCTTCTGCATACTTTTAGTTCACAGTGCCCCCTGCATGTCCGTTGCAGCTCAGTGCTCACCTGCACGAACAGCAACTCGAAAATCATGTCACGGAGCTTCTGAATGCCAGTCTCCAGGCGAGAAATTTCCTGGCATGGCAAGAGCGTATGGCGCTTTAACACATGAACAGATCCAGGTGCATCACCACATCACAAAGAAAATGAAGTAGGCAAGGAAAGCGTTAAGGCGAGACACCAGACTTTACAAGAAGCAACCAGGATCCATACGGAGTGCTTGATTTTGCTTCTGGATGGCCACACGGCCTGTACGTTGCTCCATGGAGCCCTAGCCCGCCTCTGCTGGAATCTCCTCCGCGCGCGGGCCTGCGAGACCTTCGCAAAATTTCACAGCTGCCAGCTGCAGAATGCAGCAGCCCCTCAGACATCGTGTCGACCGCGCATGTTTCTGGTGCATTCAGCTCCAAGGAGGTGTGTGCATCGGCCACGGCTGTCTGCCACAAGATAAACTTGCGGCGAAAAAAAGGGAGAAACCCCATCCGATAAACCTACTTGGCTGGCACATGCTCACCAAAAGAAGAGTCGTCGTCACTAAGCAGCATTAGGAAGACTCGAGCGGGGACTCCAAGAATACAGCTAGGGAAACGCGTATTCTCAATAGCTCTTCATAGCTCTTCTTCTGGCGTACCTTTGGCCAAAGCTTCCGGCAACCGGCAATACTCAGTTGTCATCAGAAGCAAAGTCAAGTCATACACGGATGGAGTGCATGAACACACTCACAGGCTGTTTGTCAGCCTACAGTAACAAACGTGACAGAACGTAAGCCAGAATCCTGTACGCGGCTTGAACGCTCACGTTGTGTGCGCGCTCTTTCGCGCATGCAATTATGCCCTGCAAGTTACCTGCCTGACAGAAGGATGGAGCGGCCGCTGACCAGCGGTACCACCAACTAGAAGCTCGGTGGCAGGCTCTCCTATTCCAGCTACCTCAAATTCTCTCCGTCCCTGCATCCATCGACTGCCCGGTCAGCACACCGCCCATCCTATCGGAAAAGACAAGGCAGACCCTGCTCAAGTTTAAACACGTGCACATCAGGTGGTTTTCTGCCAAAGCGAGCAGCCCCTCGTTTGGGTGCCAGACATGTGTCACCTGCCACCCTCAAGCAGGCGCTGGTGATGCTTCCTGTCCGTGTATTGCTTCAGGCGGCCTGGGAACGGGAAGCACCCGGAAACTTGCAACTTGATAAGGTACCACTATGAGCATGCGAGACCTCGAGCCCCTACACCATTGCAGTGGCATACTGGGGAAAGGGTACCCGAAGGCACGGACGTAAAGGCTGACAGCACCAAATCGCGATGATATTCGCATTGAAGTGACTCAAGTGAGCCACATCCCTGATCCAAGAGCCATGCGTGGCACACGCTGGCTCCAACAAAAGCGGAATACTGCAAAGATCTGACTGCTGCAAGGAATAACCGCCTAAATACTCCGTTTGCAGCATTCCCTGCCTATGCAGAAGTTTCAAAAAGGACACTGAATTAAGTCAAACTCGATCGAGGCCACGATGAAACACACCCATTCATAACACACTGTGCAACAACAAAATCCCAAACTCAAATGCTTCACTGGCGTTTCTGCACTACACAACACAACCTCTTGAATCGACCACTTGCCGTGCTCGTTCAAACATATGTCGAGGTATGCGTGCACACGCCACGCATCGCCTTCGACTTGCAGAATGTCTCACTTAGGCTTGCCGTCTTCCTTGACGCACCTCAGCTCGAATCTGAACTCATCAACGTGCGCTGGAAACATTTGCATACATAATCCCCCACACAAAGCCAGCGCACGTCCCCCTTCCATTCCTTAAGAAAACCAACGAACCTATGGGTTGCGTGCCACGCGTGTCGTTGGAACTTCTGCTTCGAAGTAGCTGGGATGAGAAGTGGAACAAGAAAGTGCCTATAGTTCCCAGGCGCAACGCGGCCAAACCCGCAGCAGAAGGCGTCTTTGTGAGCTGCGGGTACTTTACAGGTCCCTGTGAGGACCGGGCAGTCTTGGAAATATTTCCGAAAGGCGCATGCGATCACGCATGCCATGAGACACTTGGGCACGTGAAGCCCACCCCCTTTGTGCATGTATGAAGTTCACTCCCCAAAATGTTCCTGCTGCGATGAAGGATATACTCGTCTACCTCTAATCTGCAGAAACTTCATGCAACTCCTCATAATTGCAAAAGTTGTGCACATTTCCGGGGACATGCTGGGACTGTTGTGTGCACTCAGTTTCGTCCCTCTCCCCGCACGCGCACATGCCACCGACGCATGTCTCCGTGCCTTGTGTGCCTTTGCCTCATCCTGGCGTTGGTGTCTACCGCCCCATGGCTTCAGCGCCATGGGAGTGTTTTCAATGCCTTGTCATGGCCTGGGTGCCCGGCACAGGACCATGGCATGCCTTGCTATTTGCTCTGCTTTCTTACTTGTTCGATTTACGCGGTTGATGGGCCGAGGCGCAATCTCTGACAACCCTAGACATCCTCAAATCTCGCAGGTCTGTCATGAACACCGGCAGGTCGTTGAAACTTGTAAAACCGTGGAAAATGTTGAAATCCAATCACTGCAAGATGGGGCACTATCAGCGCACGAAGCTGAAGGGAACGCCGCCCCAAGTTGTTCACGTAGCGTGTCTGGATCTCCTTAGCTGGGCAGCCTGTCAAGTTTCACTCGTGGCGATGATGAAACAGCCATGTGCACCCAACTGTCGCAGACGGGGCGCGAGCTCTGCATCGTTTTCAAAGCAGGCTTGGCTTGTCCGCGGCGGCAAACTCAAGGACCGTCTGTCTGCATGCGGCTCCTCCTTTTTGCAGCCGAGGAAGGTGCGCTGAAGCTCCATAGCCCAAGTGGGGACTCTTGTGTCTCAAATTTGCTGGAACCCTGGCTCCCACAGCTGCAGACACAAGAAGCCATTTCTGCAGAACGTAATGCCGGGATGCACACAAGGTCCAAAGTGATGAGGCTCACACGACACGCCGCTGCTGCCAACGACCGTGCATTCCATCCACCGTCATAGTCCGCCACGCCGGCCTGCGTGCAATTTTTGTGCTACCCCGAGTGGACTACCCCGATTGAACATCCTGGCCTCTCCCTCCATGGATCTTGGAAGGATCAGCTGGATGTGGGGCGAAACAGCCTCCAATCTGCACGTGCGACAGGCTTCCACTTCGGAAGCGCACGTTTGTGGTCACACGTGATTTCGCATCGGGGCAGGATCAATCTGCAATTGCTATCTGTCTTTTCAGGGCATGGCTGCTGGGTATTCCCAAAGGAACGCATCAGGAGGAAGGGGCCTCAGAAAAAAAAATGCATTGAACGACTATTGAACATGATGATCGCACGGTCTTGCTATACTGCGGTGCGCGACCCGTTTTCGCAGGGCACTTGGCGCAGGGCGAAGCTGTCAGGTCTAAAGCCGCGATGCTCACAGGAATCGCAGACTTCCGCAATAGGCCTAGGCTAAACAGGTCGGAGCCATGCCACAGAAAACCCCGCTCTTCAAACAGCCCTGGTTGAAGACATCTGCCTTCCAAATCTTGCAGAACTGGCAAAAAGACCTCAGGCCCAGCACAAGCTGGCCGAAACTCTCTGGCCACGTCAGCATGCTCAGCCATTCTGGCGACTTCCAGGCTGCCAGCTTTTGATGCCAACGTGGCCTGACCGAACGCTAAAAGCAATCAAAAGTATTCGCCTGCACAAGACTCCACTCAAAGCTGCACGGCACTCTGTGCGCGCAGCTGGGTGGAACAGAATCAACATTGTCGGAAAAGGTCGTTCCAACACATCTGGCCTTCGGACATGCAACATGCACGAAACACACACGCATACACAAAAGAATGAACGCTGGTGAACGCTGGCGAAAACAAGCCCAGGTTCGGACATCTGGCCAAAGTTAACAACCTGGAAATCTGGAACCTGATGCAGGCACATTTGCACACGTAGCCCCTGACAACGCTAGTCTCCCAAAAAAGGCTCCCGCGCGGTGGGCCGAGAGCGTTCTTCTGCCAGCTGCCTCAAAACAACAAACATGTTTTCTTCAATGACCCAGTGAGCAGCTCTTCCCCCCTTTGCCTGTTTGTCGTGCTCCGCCCGCTGCAATAGATATGGCAAATTGCCATGCACGATCAGGACCGGGAGCGCGAGCTGCCATTTTGAAGCTCCACCCGATTCAACGTTTAGTTGCTGGATGTGGAACCGTCACATCCGAGAACAAAGCCAACAAAAAGACATAAAGACATGCGGAGCCACACCATCGCGGCAAACGTCAGCCATGGAAGAGCCACGAAGAGCTTTTGCCACTTTCGCTCTGCGGGCTCCAACCTGTCACACAGCCGCGCTTGACAGATGAACCGACACAACGCACCCCGCTTTGTTTCTGGAAAACACGTCTTGCGCATTGCCCTCACCAGCATAGAACATCAGCTACGTACCATTGCGCAGACATGCAAGCTACGCCGCTACGCAGAATGAGCTGGGTTGCTCTGGCCTGTTGTCCGGCAGAAGGAAAGCCTGCAATTAAAACTGACGACGACATGTACATCGACTGGAAAAATGGAAGGACTTAATTTCTTTTCATTCTAAACACTCAGCGCACTGCGTGTGGGTCGTCACTGGGCAGATAACGCACAGCTGCTGGTCCGACCTGCAAAATCTCAACTTTTTGTGTTTACAACATACAATCCAGTACATGACAACACATGACTAGTCCACACGATATCCTAACTTAGGCGCCGCACGCGTGCAACCAACTCTCTTCTGCGACTTCGGGCAAGAATCGCTTCGATGGAGTTGTCTGCCTCGCCACGAATATAACACATGCACCACCAGCGCCAACTTGCCATGGTATGCCAAGCACATGTGTCCATCCTCGACTTGCCGTTGCTCGTCACTCGCGACAATGTCGCCACGAGTCGTTACAGCAGGTGGCTGGTCGGCCTAGTCACCAAACAATCGTCTGACTGCAGGAAAACACCAGACACACGTTTTTGCTCCTGATTGGCCAAGCGTGGTTACACGAAGAAGTCGGGAAAACCTCTGTACGACAATGCAGTTGAGGGGGGGAACCGTGTCTGCACGACAAGGCAGTTGACCGTGTCCTTGGGGCCCGTGGACATCCCGTGGACTAAAAACCCCCAACCGGGCTCGATGAAAGCTGGAGCAAGCTTGGGGCCTCCAACCCTCCTTCCCCAAGCATATCTCCCGCGGCGCACAAGGCGTAGGACAACATTGCTAGCTCGGCCACGTGTCCCCCCGCGGATGGGGAGAGACTGGGGAGAGAAGGACCCCGAGATCCCAGAAGGTCTACTAGCCTGGGATTGGCATGACCTCTCAGTGGGGGAAAGAGGAGATGCCGAGGAGTCGTGGAGGAGCATGTACAGCGACCAACTGCTACCAACCCAGCACCTCACGGGCTGACCGCGAGGTCGGCACACGCGGCCAGGTGGAAGGCTGAAGTTCCCGTGACGTTTCTCCGACGCCGGACGGCTCTGCCATTGGCGCGTGCAAGCTGCTCAAAAAGGCGCGTCCGTATCCGGTTGCTGTCAGCGCCCTCAGCCTACTGGCAACTGCGTCAGCGAGGATGAAGGAGGCTGCTGAATGCCTTCCTTCCGCTTCGAGCCGATGGGCTGGTACAAGAGGCCAGCGTCTGTGCACAGCTGCTCTGTTTGGTGCTTGCGCTTGTGGAGGGAGGAGCCTTCCGCAGCGCCGACGGTGGCTCTCCAAGTAGCCTCCCAATGGTTAGGCTCCTGGGCATTGACTAAGGGTCGGGGGGCACCCGGAATGCTTCCGCCAGGGAGCCTGTCCAATAGCAGGCCCGGCTGCTGCAGGAGCACATCCGCTGCGACGCAGTGCCATCCCAGGTAAAAGCTGCGGTGCTTCCAAAGCCGACAGTAGTTGAGAATGAGGTCTCGCACATGGTTGTGCACGGCCGTTGGCATCGCCACCTGCATGCAGGAGAGCGCATGCACAGAGGCCACACAAGCAGCAGGACCCCTCGCCCAGGCTCACATCGACTCCAATCGCAATCGCACTGCAATGTCACATGTGAGCGAGGGCGTGAGCTCCCACAACCGTGCTGCCCCGGCTGCGGAAGCAGCATGGTGTCGGCGCGCATCATCCGCAGTAGCGCTGGTCTCGAGAATGGCCGCGCGACCAAGGTGTTTGCCAAGCACCTGCTGCCGCAATGCGTGTCCGGCAGGTCCCCCTCCCATACGTAGTCTGGCCATTATTTTTTTTTTTTCGCGCGCCTTTTTCCGCAGCCTGTCATAGCGGGGGTCGGGGTCGGGAGGGAGAGGCCTCACTGCCGCGGCGGCACGCGGCTGGCGGCCGGGGGGCGATCCCAGCGGCCATCGGCCAGGACTTCGTGCAGCTCAGGCGCGGCATCATCGCCGTTGCTCTCACCTGCAAGGGGCAGCTCGAGCAAGGAAGATGCGAACGCGTGCTGGGCCGCAACGGCCAGGAGCGCCGCCCATCGCGCCACCCAGGCGGTCTGAGCCGCCGGTCGGAGGTGCGCTGGGATGGTGGCAGCTCGGTGGCGGGCCAGGAGGCGCAGGAAGGTGGCTGCTTCCGTGCCAAAGCGCCCACCCACTTCCAGGGCAATGACAACCAGGCGGCACCGCCGGGCACGGAGGAGCTCGGGGTACGTGCCATGTCGCTTGCGCCGCGCTGCTGCGGTGACAGAGCGCCCCGGCTCAACGTCAGCCCGCGGGTGGGGCTCGCCCGTACGTGTGAGCGGGGAGACGAGCGTGGCGTCAACCGCGAGCTGCGAGCCGTGCCAAAGGGACAAGCCGTTGGCCACGACTTCGATGCGCCTGTCATCTGCGACGGGCACGTCGATGTTCATGTCGGCAACGCGGACGTTGCGAGCGACACGCGCACCGGCTTCGCGGCAAACCCGCGCAACGGCGCGCTCAAGTGGCCCTGCACGCGCGGCGAGCACGCCGCTGGTAGCGCACGCGGCACGGTGGTCCCCGAAAGTGTCGAGCCTGCCACGACAGCTGCACGTGCGGGGGGCGAGTGGCAGGGGCAGGCGCAGGCGCCGCAGGAGCAGAATGCGGAACTGCGCATTCGGAATGGACACGGCCTCGTGCGTGGGCGCGACAGTGATGGCTCGGGCAGAGTGTGGCCCAGCCTGCGACAGCAGCAGCGCACGGGACGCAAGGGTGAGGTCAGAAAGATGCGTCTCGCACGCGCGCTCGTCGCACGCTCCGGCAGCGTGGCGCTGCCATCCCCGCAGGGCATCACCTGGCTCGAAAGCGCAACCGCGCGCTGGCGGCGCGTCCGAGGCGTCAAGCAGGGAAGCCCACGCCGGCGCGTCGTAGCCGATGGCGCGAAGGGCATCGCGTGCCTGATTCGCAGCGGCCGCCGCGGGCAAGGGCACATGGCCCTGCAAGGCATGGAGCAGCCGGTCTGCAGCTACCGGCGCTCGGGCTTGGATAACGGGCAGCGTGTCACACCAGGAGGCCCAATGGGCAGCTTGGCGGGCAGCAACAGCGGAGCGCAGACCAAGCCCCCCAAACCGCAAGGCCAGCTGCGCCGTTCGCAGGCTGGGATCAGGCAGGGGCGCGGCCTCCAGCTGCAAGAGGCGGGTGAGGCACTGGGCAACTGCCGCGTCGTGGTCCCGCGCATACGCCTCGGTCTGGTGGGGGGGGAGGACCCGGAGGAGGTGGTTGGCCCGTGGCGCAGCGCAGAACAGGAGCAGGAGCCACGCTGCCTGCAAGCTGGACAACTGCGGGATGCGGCCGAGGAGTCGGTCATGCTGCGCACGTTTGAGGCGTAGCTGCGCATGGACGTACGCGTCATGACCCAACGGCGCGCCCAGCACGGTGAGGCCTTGCTGGTCGGGCGGGAGCGACCAGTCGCCGACCCACGCTGGGTCCGAGGAGCTAGCGGCGGCCAGGTCGGCTATGGTCGGGGGCTCTTCACCGGCCGCGTTCCATATGCGGGTCTTGCCCGCATGCAATCTGACCCGCGCATGTTCCCACAACGCGGCGGACAGAGCATCCAGCAAAGGCCGAACACGCTCAGGTTCAGCGACGACGTAAATGTCGTCTAGGAAGGCGAAAACGGCCTCACCCGGGAGAAGCTGGCCCTGGAGTTCGGCGAGCGCAGGGTGCTGCGCGAGGGCGTAGAGCGCTGGCATCAGAGGGTCGCCTTGCTCGCCGCCTTCGCCTTGCTGGATGCGATGGCCGTGCCCGGCATCGTCATACCAAGTGTAGGAGCTGCTCTCGGCGTAAAATTGGCGCGCGTAGGGCAACAAAGGCCGCAGCGCCGGGCGCTCAAGCAGCCCCCGCAGCATGGCTCGACGGGAGACGTGGTCGAATGCCCCAACAGCATCAACCGAAAGGATTGTTGCCCGCGGACTGGCCTCAGTTGCTGCGCGGAGGAGGCAGACGACGGCTTCAGTCCCAGCAGACGTGCTAAGGCCGAATTGGAAGGGCAGGCACGCCTCTTGGAGTTGGGGGCCGAACTGCTGCGCCAGAACCCTCCCGACCAGGCGGCGCAAAACGTCGCCAACAACTAGGGCCCGGACACGGCCATTCGGCTTTTGCAACGCGACGACTCTGCCGACGCGCACGGCCGCAAGGACGTCGTCCGGCACCTGCGCACGAGCAAGTAGCTCGGCTGCAGTGTGAAGAAGGCGGCTGTCCTCCTCATCATCAAGCATGATGCGGAGATGCTCATTGGTGGCGCCGCTCGGCCCGGCCGCAGAACCGCGGCGCGCGGACTGGAGACAGGCGACGAAAGCCTGTTGGGGGAAAGCGCACGGCTGGTCGGGCTGAAACCCCAGAACATCAGCATCATGCGGGCCGTATGCCTCGGGAGGGCGGCGGTCGGGGTCTGTGAGCTCGGCCAGGGTGGCCGGGGACCCCACCGCGAGAGGCTCGGCGGTGAGCGCGCGGCTTGCCGCGGACAACTCGCCAAGTTGGACGAGAGACTCAGCCCGGTACGCACGGGCCTCGTCAGTTGGGGTCCGCGCAGCGCCCCTGCCGCAGGCTGGCAACGTGAAGGCCATGTCGGCGACACGGCCCAAGCCACCAGTGGCAACATCGCCTGCTCCCAGGCAAGGAGCCCGAGGACAAAGATGCTCGAATGCAGCTTTGACTCCAGCATCAAACGAGTGGTGCGACTCAGGTAGTGCATGCGGGAGGCTTTGCTTTTGCTTTTGCCCGTGGGACAGGTTGCTGGAAAAGCGTTCGCGAACTACAGGAATTTACATTTCCACTGTGAACATGTCTATGTACTCAGCTAGAAAGCTTCCATCGCTCAACATCACATGCAGCATCAACCCAATTCACATCGTTTGGGAAGCATTGGACAACAAACTTTGACAGTTGATCATCCCATTTTGCACGAGGCCGGCCCACAACTCTCGTGGGTCGTGTTGTCGTATTCGCTAACCACCGAGTTCTGGGATCCCATTTGCAAACCAAGCTCGGCCACTGACTTCTCGTCACGATTGCCGCAAAAGCGCACTGCCTTGACAGCAATCGATGATCCCAAGCAGTGACAGGGTACTGTTGGAGGGCTGAGGCAACCCGTTGGTTGTTTTTCTACGCACCTTTTTCAACGCAGCATGTGTCTCCAGTCAATGTCAGGGCTCGGTGGGCGAGCGGGGACAACACCGGCACTAGTGGCCGGACGCACGCGCATCATGGTGTCAGACCAGGCTTCACCATCCACCCGTCGCCAACCAACAATTGAACGCAGCATACGCCTCTGCACGATGTTGAGGTCATGAAGTTGCTTCTGGGTCAGGGGCAGCGTGTGCCAGCTGAACAGCACAGTGGGAGTAATCACCGCATCGACATACTTCGGCCGATTTCGAACTGCAACATGTTGGTTCTGCAGAATGTGTTTGTCTTTCATGAACTTCCCCAAGCCACATGTGAATGGTGAGCGACTTCGACTGCTGCCCTTTTTGTAACATTTCCGGATAGGGAGCGCCCCAGGTATTTGTGCGTCTTGTCTTCGAACAACACTTCCAGCACATCGTCATCAACTTCAATGTACATTGGTGATTCGAGAGACGACATTGTGAATATCTTGGTTTTGTCCGCATTCAATTGCAAGCCAATTTTGCACAGCTCTTGCTTCAAGAACGTGATCATTGTGGTAAGTGCATAACAAGACTTCGCATAAAACCGAAGAGCATCAGCAACACGAATGTTCAATGGCACTGAACATCCCACCCATGATGCTGAGACGCTGCTTCCATCTGTCCAACGCATATTGCAAGGCAAGGTTGAAGAGAAAAGGGCTGAGAAGACCCCACGCCGTATATGAAATGGCCGACCATCTCTGACAGCGCCCGTTTGTGACGCGCATCAGGATCTCAGCAAAGACTCGTATGCACCAGGCATGCCAACTGTATCCAACGCTGCAAAAAATGACACGTGATCAATTCGATCGAGAGCTTTGCATAAATCAAGACTTGCACACCACAATGCGCATAGAAAACGAAGCAAATACTGTAGGGTTCCCCTACTGCATGCCGCCCTGGGGGCGCTCTCCGCGCGAGCCTTGAAGCTTTGGCGCGCCGAGCCGAGCACATCACCCTGGTGGGAAAATGCGCGGCGAGCCCTTGCGGCCTCCCGCCCCGTCCCCGTCCCCGTCGCCGTCCTCACCGACGCGCTCATCGCCTCTGCGTCTCATCGCGGTGATGCCTTGCCCGCCGGCTCCTCGCTGAGGCGGCCGCGTTGCCGTCTAGCACGCTCCTACACCTGGGATGGACGGTGCGCCTACTTGCTGAGCGCGATGGGTACATCGCTGCCGCTGCCCAGGAAGTTTTCCTGAAGCTGTTCGGGGGCCCAGCGCTCGCCACTCAGCTCGACCGGGCGTCCGACGCGTTCCGTCAACAGCCCCCCGACGCGCGTGGCCTGACGCGGCCGCCTGCCGCCGAACACGCTCCCGACCGCCTTCGCACATGCTCAGGCTGACCCCGCCGCCGACCGGGCTGCCAGCGAGCCGGACCCCGCTGCTGCTGATGCTCCGCTCGCCGCTGCCGCATGCCGTGTCGCCGGCGCCGAGCGGGCGCGGGGGCGGGGGCGCCGTGGAGGACGCGGGCGGACCAACGGCCGCGTGAGCCTGGCGGCACGGCCATTGCGCCTGAGTATGCGACTGAGCCGGAATGCGCACCTATCGGTGGCACACAGCGCGAGCGCAAGGTCGTCGCTGCCGAGGCCGGACTTCGCGCAAGTCTCGGCTCGCTTGACGACATCTCCTTGGAAGAGACCTGTCGCGCGTGCGCGCGGTGACGCTGCAGGCTGCGCCCCAACACCTGCGCGGCGCACTGCGGACTGCGCTGCGAACTGGCCTGCGCCTCGCCACGGCCGGGGGTTCGCTGCCGGAGCGCGTGCGGGGCTGGAAGCTTTTCAACAGGCCTTCGTCGCCTGTCTCCAGTCTGCGCGCCGCGGTTCTGCGGCCGGGCCGAGCGGCACCACCAATGAGCATCTCCGCATCATGCTTGATGATGAGGAGGACAGCCGCCTTCTTCACAATGCAGCCAAGCTACTTGCTCGTGCGCAGGTGCCCGACGACGTCCTTGCCGCCGTGCGCGTCGGCAAAGTCGTCGCATTGCAAGAGCCGAATGGCCGTGTCCGGGCCCTAGTTGTTGGGAACGTTTTGCGCCACCTGGTCGGGAGGGTTCTGGCGCAACAGTTCGGCCCCCAACTCCAAGAGGCGTGCCTGCCCTTCCAATTCGGCCTTAGCACGTCTGCTGGGACTGAAGCCGTCGTCTGCCTCCTGCGCGCAGCAACTGAGGCCAGTCCGCGGGCAACAATCCTTTCGGTTGATGCTGTTGGGGCATTCGACCACCTTTCCCGCGGCCTTTGTTGCCCTACGCGCGCCAATTCTACGCCGAGAGCAGTTCCTACACTTGGTATGACGATGCCGGGCACGGCCATCGCATCCAGCAAGGCGAAGGCGACGAGCAAGGCGACCCTCTGACGCCAGCGCTCTACGCCCTCGCGCAGCACCCTGCGCTCGCCGGGCTCCAGGGCCAGCTTCTCCCGGGTGAGGCCGTTTTCGCCTTCCTAGACGACATCTACGTCGTCGCTGAACCTGAGCGTGTTCGGCCTTTGCAACATGCGCGGGTCAGATTGAACGGCGGGCAAGACCCGCATATGGAATGCGGCCGGTGAAGAGCCCCCCGTCCATAGCCGACCTGGCCGCCGTTGGCTTCTCGGACCCAGCGTGGGTCGGCGACTGGTCGCTCCCACCCGACCAGCAAGGCCTCACCGACGCGTACGTCCTTGCGCAGCTTCGCCTCAAACGTGCAGAGCATGACCGACTCCTCGGCCGCATCCTGCAGTTGTCCAGCTTGCCGGCAGCGTGGCTCCTGCTCCTGATCTGCGCTGCGCCACGGGCCAACCACCTTCTCCGGGTCCTCCCCCCTCACCAAACCGAGGCGTATGCGCGGGACCACGATGGAGGCCGCGCCCCTGCCTGATCCCAGCCTGCGCACGGCGCAGCTGGCGTTGCGGTTTGGGGGCTCCGCCGTTGCTGCCCGCCAAGCTGTCATGGGGCCTCCTGGTGTGACACGCCGCCTGTTATCCAAGCCCGAGCGCCGGTAGCTGCAGACCGGCTGCTCCACGCCTTGCAGGGCCATGTGCCCTTGCCCGCGGCGGCCGCTGCGAATCAGGCACGCGATGCCCTTCGCGCCACCGGCTACGACGTGCCGGCGTGGGCTTCCCTCCTTGTCGCCTCAGACGCGCCGCCAGCGATGGCAGCGCCAAGCTGCCGGAGCGTGCGACGAGCGCGCGTGCGTGGCGCATCTTTCTGACCTCACCCTTGCGTCCCGTGCGCTGCTGCTGTCGCAGGCTGGGCCACACTCTGCCCGAGCCAGCACAGTCGCGCCCACGCACGAGGCCGTGTCCATTCCGAATGCGCAGTTCCGCATTCTGCTCCTGCGGCGCCTGCGCCTGCCCCTGCCACTCACCCCCCGCACGTGCAGCTGTCGTGGCAGGCTCGACGCTTTCGGGGACCACCGTGCCGCGTGCGCTACCAGCGGCGTGCTCGCCGCGCGCGCAGGGCCACTTGAGCGCGCCCTCGCTTGCGCCTGGCGGCACTGTCAACGGCCCATCTGGGCAGCGTGTCAGCACGCGGGTGTGGGTCGCCGGACCGGGTGACCGGCGAGACAATGGTGGCGTCGAGGGCGAGTTGGGCCCCATGCCAGAGTGGGAGTGGCGACGACCTCAATGCGCCGCCCGTCCGTGACCTTTTATGCGCATTCCAGTGCATTTGTATGCAGTCTGCGGCGAGGGCGCTTCAGCCCGAGCTCCCACAGCAAAGCCACGAGTGAGTCTTTCATGTTCTTTCTTTTTTTAGGTGGGAGCACGCAGTGGTCGGCTGCGATGCCATGCCTTTCTACAAACCTTTAGAGGGGGTCGTCGTGCTGATCGAAAAAACGCGGCGCCACCTGTGCTGCCCGAGCGGCGACCCCACCCTGCAGCATGTTCCGTCCTTCCTACGCCGTCGGGATCTCGTGTTCGCTTAGCAGGCGGTTCGCGACATTGACGTGGGCGGGGATGCGGAGGTTCTTGTTGACATCTGGCACGTTACGGGCGCGCCCAAAAGCAGCGGTGCTCGAGCGCGTGGAGTGGTACACGCGAGCGTGGATGGCCCTGCTGAGCCGGGAACGTCATCACGCTAGTGATCTGAAGTATCAAGTCAAGTTAAGCCTGAAAGCCTGCACGCAAACCATTGCAGGTTCAGGCAAAAGGGCTACATATTGCGCAAATCGCCTATAAGAGAACCAGCATCGATCAGACCATGTCGAAATGTTGCATGCTTGCATCCGCTTTGCAACACGTCTGTTGCAGCCATGCAAGATCACATGCCATTCTGCGGTCCAGGTGTCACTTGTCATGACGTCGTATTTCGCGAGCGCATAAGGTTGATTGTTGCCGCCTGATCTCTAATTGGATGCGCCGAACTTCTGCATGGCTGGACGCAGCCCCGGGCCGAGCAGCTCCTCTGGCGGCGGCAGCGACTCCTGATCAACCCCCGCATCGCACGGCCCCGCATCGCACGGCTGCACCGGCAGACCCATTTCACGCGGTTCTATGCGTTTCACGCGATGGTATGTTCAACGTGTACAGAACATGATGCATGTTCTTGCTGACATCGGTCGCCCAAACTTGCGTATTGAAGGCCCGATTGTCTCATTGTGTTTTTCCCCCACTCCTTTTTTCCAACAGCCAGCGTTGTCCCAGCGCAGCACTGCAGAGCGCAACCGCTGCGCAGGGTGGAGGCGGCATCCCGATTGCGAGCCGGGGCAGAGTCGGCGAGACGGTCGCTGAGCAACGGGGGCCTCCCGATCGACATTGGCGGTGCCCGAACGTGTAGGGAGAGCATGCCGCGAGCTGTCTCACGAAGGAGGCAACCTCGGAACTCCACCAACCTGCAGCGTGGCGATGGTGCGAAGCAAGTGGTGTTTGTCCTGAATGTCGGACGGTTCACAAGGTCGGCAGATGATGGGTTTCCTCGCACCTGCAGTGGGGTAGGCCAAAATTGGCCGGCATGCTGCCGCACGATAATGGCAGATTTCCCGCGCACTTCCTGCTGTCCCAAGCGCGAGCGTGTGCGGCGCCAGTCAGACAAAAGATGTCTCACTGAGTTGAAACAGTGTGTTGTTGCCATGTTCCTGAAGTCAGTGTTAAATTGCCATGAATGGCCCCGAAATCGAAAATCTGTTTCATCACGTTGACCTATATCCAGTATGGATGCACACGGGAGGAGCAATTTGCAGCCCAGAACGATGTAATACGTTACGACCAACTGCTGGCATAAACGTTTGTGACACATCATTCCCACGCGCAAAGTTAGGCTGCCGGAACTTCCCGTGCGCATGGCTTCTGTGCTTGAAC